ACTCCCTATGGGTCAATAACATGATTAGTCCTTGAGACCCTTTGTCCCTACAGCGATTAGGAACCGGAGTAGATATCCATCCCTTCCAAATTCCTCTCCCCTTCTCCTTTCTCTTATTTGAAGGGTTACGATTAAGTCACATTAACATCTTATTTTTGTTGACTTATTTATAAAGAGAGAAAGACAATGAAGAAAGTGAGAGCGGAAATGAGGAAATGAGAGAGAATTTGGAGGGGAGATAATCATACTCCTTAAGAACCTAAAGATTGTCCTTTTTTTTATAGGAAAACTAATGAAAAGGGCTTGAAAACTTTGAGTTTTAATGATAAGGACAAAATAAAGGGTAAAGTGAATAGTACCAGGTTTGACTTTTTAGTGTAAAAATGTGGGTTTTCATTAAATTGAACAGTACCGTGAGCTTTTCATTAAAACTTCATTTTTTTATTGGGTCGGAAAGAGGTCATTCATTAATTAAGAAATGAAGTACAAACAACAAAGGGTCAAAGCAAAAGGTAAGCAACAACCCAAAACATCTATGGAGACCCAACTAAGCTTAAGCCCAACAAAAGGAACCCTGTTAGGGTAAAATTGGCAACCCCTGACAAAATGTCTGAGTCTGTAATAGCTTAGACTTGTTACATATTTACAATTGTAATAGTTTTAGTCTAGGGAGGTTTCTCACACTTTTAATGCGAAGATGTTACCAAAACGCGATACTCATTCAGGTACATTTGCATGCATGCATCCAACTACATTCATCTATATCCATATATTATTGTATTTGGGTTAGGACTTTTATTTTTGTGTGTTTTACTTTTCTAGAATCAAATTATCCTGTCTTTCAAACCGTGTGATAAAACTGGTTTTTCAAAACATGTTTTCAAAACTTATCTGTTTGCATGTCGGTAGGACTTATCTGTTTGCATAAGGAGTTATCTGATTGCATGTTGGTAGAATTATTAAACTACATGGATTGCATTGTAGTACTTATCAAGAAAAAAAGGGACCAATGCTTTGGCATATATATGGGAAGTCAGGGACGTGAAAAAGTGAGCCATATATGCATAAAAATTGTTTTTTTTTCGAAAGCATTTTCAGAAGCACTAGCTTGGGTTTTTGTGTGCGGGGAAAAACAATTTGATTACTGCTGTTAGCTTGTGGTTCCAACAGCATGGGTTTTTGAGAGAAATTGTTATTTTCATGTTGTTTTCTTTGAGGTTTAAATTGAATCTCAATTATGGAAATGAGCTTTGTGATTTTCGTAATTGATTGTTTTTCAAACAAACACTTCATCATATAAACATTCTGCATGATCGAGTTAGCATCATGCAAAGTTCGAGGGAAAGGTGATTGACGGCTGCGTTAGTGTCGTGCCACTTCAACTCGAAGACTGAAGAAAGATCGAGTAGCAAAGCGCGGAGACAAAGCTGCCAACTGGTATGAGTGTCTAGTTGATGAGTTTTGTAAGTCTTTATGTATTCTTTATTTCTTAGTGCTTCCTGGCTTGGTAGCCCGAGGATTTTCCCAGTGGTGGGTTTTGCCTCGTAAAATCCTACATTGTGTGTGTGCTCTTTATATTCGTGCTGAATATTTGTGTAGGATTAAGTTTGCATAACTGATTAGGTTAAGCCATAACTTAAATTAGTCTTAAGTTGAAATTTATTTATAGTTTAGATTAAATTAGTACCCATCCTAGGACTTTCAAACCCTAATCTCCGACACCAGAGCAACTCGCCACACCCAAGATCCTTGCACCAAAACCAAAATCACACATGAACCATAAGATTAATATTGAAACGCCGAACCAAATCGAACACTAAGATCCAAACCGTCGACAACAACACCTACAAAGAGAACCAGAGAACCAAACGAAAAAAAAGAAAAAAGGGAGGGTCAAAGGGAGTGTGTAAAACACCTTTGATACGACTCAAATTGTTCCACCCTTCGCCCAAATTTTCTGGCAAGCCGGTAAAGCAATGGGACACTTCAAGAGCAAGCTTATGGCTAGATGAGAAATGAGATTTGGGAAAGCATGGGGAGAAAATTGGGTTTCATGCCCGTTTCTCGACTTCCCGGGGTTTTTCGGTGTTTTCCCGTTTAGCTTGGGCTGGCAGCATCCTCACCTTTCCTCCTAGCCATTTCCCCTTCCTCTTGCGCCTTCGCAAGGGCCAGTGGCGCGATTGCTGCTAGGGTATTCTTTTCTCTGTGCTGGCAGAGAGAAAACGAATAAGGGGTGCACTCCTCCTAAAGAATGTGGAAACCCCCTATCTTCTGTTGCTTAAAGTTAGGACTACAGGACCCATAATTTCCTTATCTTACCAGAATAATTTGATCTGTCTGGATTGTTTCTGGGATGGTTAAAAACACTTTCTGGCTACGTACATTTTGCGTAAAAAGTTAGAAGTGCTTATGGAAAGGCACTTGATAGATGTTTTTATATAAGAACAACGTTTGGCTCCCCAAGATTTAGTGGATGATTCATAAGACTTCATTGCTTATTGATTCAAAAAAATTATCTATAAAATGATTTATAATATAACCGATTCGATTACGAAGTTTCATAAATCGTAAGAGTCCTTGCAAGTTAGCTTCTTCTAATAATATCCTCTGATTAAAAGCAAAAAAAAAAAAAATTAAAAACCGAAAGCAAAACCTCTCTCTTTTTAAGTTTTAACGTAACCCGACCTCGCTCGCTCATCTCTCTCTTCCCTCTCCGCTCCAGTGTCCAGTTCTCCCATCTCCTAACAAGGTAAATTCTCTCTCTCTCTCTCTCTCTCTCTCTCTCTCTCTCTCTCTATATATATATATATATATTATTAGAGTAATGCTAGGTGCAGTAGATTTTGGGAATTGGGATTTCTGGTGTGGATATGATTGGGGAAATTGGTCGACATACTCCAGCAGGTGCCATTGTAGAACTATTCAATGGATTATCCATACCAGTTGGCCCATCACAAAACCGCCATTGGTGACCTCTGGAGCTTTTTCGCAGTAATCACCCGCGAAGCTGTCCAGTTCTGCTCGATTGAACTTCCTACTTTGAGTAAGCTCAATTTCTCCTTCTTTGAAGTTTGGTACTTTTGAAATGTAAAAAAATGGTGATTTGCATATCCTCTAGTTTACCCTTGTAGCTCTTAATTTTGTGGAATGCGAATGTTCTGCTTCTTTTTTTCTGAAGAAAATGACTCAGTAATACGGCTTGCAGATTCTTTGATGATAAACCACTCCTAAGTGCTAACATGTATACATGGAAGCAGATCGTGCCCACATCGAAGCGGTTGAATGATGTCACAAAGTATTGTCAAGGTGAAACGAAGTTGTATTTGCTCGTTTTTTTATGTCCTAGAGTAATATAAACTTCGGTTTTTCAATGGTGAAGAGATCCATGCATGTACAATCGCGATAAAGGCTTCCTGATGCTTGTTTTCATTTTCAATGCAGCATTGCGTATTACTTTCATGCATTCATTACCAAATTTCTCAGCAGAAGTTCATTCTCCGGATCAGGAGGTAGTGCTTGCTTTGGCAAGCAATGTGGGTGACAGACTCTGCATAATTTCAGTGAAGCCTTGCGGTTAATGAGAAAATCGGGCATACACATCACTAGACATGGTTGCCTGTATGAGACAGCACCAGTCTATGTGACTGATCAACCTAATTTTCTCAACTCTGCTGTTAGAGCTGTTACACAACTTGGGCCTCATGAGTTACTACGAGCACTGAAGAAAATTGAAAAGGACATGGGTCGTACTGACGGCATAAGGTATGGTCCCAGGCCAAACGACCTAGATATATTGTTCCATGGAAAGCGAAGAATTAGTTCTGAGATTCTTAGGGTTCCCCATGAACAAATTTGGGAAAGACCATTTTTAATGGCCCCACTAATGGATTTACTGGGGTCAACTATTGACAGCGATACAGTCTTGTTGGCATTCTTTCTCACTGCATTCTGGTGGGCTTTTTGATTCCTGGGAGAAATTGGGCGGTGAACCACTCGTTGGAAAGGAAGGACTGAAGAGGGTTTTACCCATCGGAAATGGCTTTTGGGACTGGTCAACGAAAACCGCGGTAATGGGTATGTTTAATCTGACCCCAGATCGTTTTAGTGATGGAGGAAAGTTTCAGTCTGTAGGCGCAGCAATTTCTCAGGTTCGCTCAATGATTTCAGAAGGGGCAGATATGATTGATATTGGTGCACAATCTACGCGGCCAATGGCTTCTAGGATTTCAGTTCAACAAGGATTGGATAGACTAACTCCTGTCCTAGAAGCGGTTCTTGGGCTGCCTGAAGCAGAGGGAAAGATTGTATCTGTGGACACATTTTATTCAGAAGGTGCAGCAGAAGCAGTCAGTAAAGGTGCTTATATTGTAAATGTTGGATCTGCTGGGCAGTTGGACAATGCAGAACAGTGAGAACCTGCAATATGATAATGCTTGTAAGCAGGTTGCCTCGGAGTTATACTTGAAAGTGAGAGAAGCTGAAATATTAGGCATCCCAGCTTGGAGGATGATAATTGACACTGGACTTGGATTTTCAAAGAACCGTGAACACAATTTGGAAGTCTTAATGGGGTTACCAAATATTCAAGCAGAGATTGGGAGGAAAAGTTTGGCTTTGTCTCGTGCGCCCATACTAATTGGACCTTCCAGAAAGAAATTTTTAGGTGAAGTTTGTAATCGCACTGCTGCAACTGAGAGAGATGCTGCTACTGTTGCTTCTGTCACTGCTGCAGTTCTTGGTGGAGCAAATATTGTAAGAGTACATAATGTAAGAGATAATGTAGATGCTGTGAAGCTATGTGATGCAATACTGAGACAAAGGAGATCTATTCCTCCAAGTTAGAAAAAATGGTGACAACTCAACCCATGAAAAGCATAAAAAACAGAGATTGGCGAAAAGCGTTTGATAGCCAGGAAAATACTCACGAAGAGAGAATGGATGAGTTATCATCTGTTTTGAGGTGCAATGTAGGGCGGCAGCCAATGAAGTGCCACCAACTTGAATTCATGAATTATTAAAGTTACAAGCAGTAGTAGAAGCTCAATCATGAATTCATGATAGATTTCTTTACAATTATTGATCATAGGCCAGAGCCACCAACTTGCTATTGCTCTAGTGTTATCTCTCGTCCACAATGTTGGAAGAGGTCGCAAGGTTGAATTCTCCTTCCAGGAATGATAAAGCAAATAAATAAATTATAGGCAGTAACCTAAACTATGCTTTCCATAGGATATTAGGTTCAAGCCTCCTCATGGCAGAAGAAGTTGCTGGATGAATGATCTCTAATGAATTCACATCCCAACCCCCACCTCTCCAATAGGAATAGTAAACTGCTTGAATGTGAGCAACTTTCCCATGATCTTCTCCACCATCAGGAAGTAGTGACTGGATCAATTCATCTGGCATATCGAAAAATTCTAGCAATTTTAAACTTTTTAAATGCTCGATGCCTGATGGGACCTTCTTCAACAAGTTGCAGCGCTGGATTATCAACTTTTCTAGACAGGGCATTGCTCCCTCATCTATGATAATCTCTTCCACTCCTTCTAATTTGTCGATACCTAATAGCTTTAGACTTGGAAACCCTCCTTCCTTAAAATGCAAGCATTCTCCATCATAAACCTGAAGCAGTTCAAGATGTACCAGATTTGGCAAACCTTGGAGATGTACCAGAGGATCCTCCTTTAGCCGACTCCATTTCAAAAAGAGTCTCACCAAGTTATGAAGAGAAGAAATCCAGTGCGGTAAGTTTTCTAAACGCCCTGTCAAATATAGTCGCTGAAGGAACTGTGGAGGACAAGAAATTTGTGTCAGATCAATTATCATCTCCTTCTCCACAGAAGATACAGACAGCGAGCGAAGGTTGGTCAGCTTTTCAACCGATGAGCACACGGTGACCCCATCTTCTGTCCTCAACTTGAAAATGCCCAACCTCCTCAGTTGATTCATTCTGCCAAGTTCAGCCATTAAAGCACCATTGTCATGATTTGCCTCAATAAAACACAGCTTTTGGAGCGACTGCAAGCCACATATTCCTGCAGGAACCTTAACTCCAAATCTGGAATTAAAGCGTGCATAAGATTCAACTTCATACCGATACACCAGGAGATGGCGAAGGCGCTTGAGATTCAAAATTTCTGGAGGCAACTCAACAACAAGAGAATGTTTAAGATCCAGGGTCTCTAGGTTTTGAAGCTTCCTGATGGAGCTTGGGATTTGTTTCACCTTGGTATCCCTCAAACTAAGATACCTGAGAAGAAGAAGGTTGACAACCTCTCTTGGAAACATGTCTAGAGGTGCACCTTGCAAGTCTAATACCGTAAGCAGCGGAAGACCTTTAGGAAACAATTTTGGTATCGAAAACTCAGTAAGTGAATCTTCTACCCCAAAAATGAGCAGCGAGCGTAGATGAGAAGGGGTCCTCTTTGGTATTACATTCTGCAATGTGTTAAAAATTGACAGGCGTCGAACTTTGTCCGGCCACATAGTACCTTGCTCTTTCTCTATTGCTGCAAAGTTTTGCTCTCTAGACTTCGAGATGATAATCTCCCGTAAAAGATCATGGATCCGGCATGATTTGACCCTCCCGTCAGTTGCTATTTCTGCTGCTTGGATCAAACTTCTGTCCAATAGCTCCTTCAGGTAACTCTCAGCAACTTCTTCTGGTGTCTTTCCTTCCCTTTCAATAACAAATCCTTCAGCCATCCATAATCGAATTAATCTCATATGGTCGATTTGATAGAGGTCGGGAAAGATACTTAGATACAAGAAACAAGACTTGAGATGGTATGGTAAGTCACTGAAACTGAGGTACAACAACTTTTTCATGTTATCAAGTTGGCCATTTTCCTCAATTTGAGCACCAATGCTTCCAGAAACGGCAGCCCATTCCTCTATGTTTCTCTTGTCTTTTGTAGCCAGAACAGCACTGATTGCCACAATTGCAAGGGGCAGTCCCCCGCATTTCCTTAAGATACTTTGACAAATTCCCTCCAAGTTGGGCGGACATGAGTTTTCTGGAAATGTCTTCCTGCAGAAAAGAGTCCAAGACTCTTCTGGAGACAAGGGCTCTAAATGGTAGACCATACCGTGGTTTTCCATGCTAGAGGCAGAGGCTACAGCAGCATTACGGGTAGTGATCATTACACGACTACCATTACCGTTGTGGGGCAGTGCATGATTGATGGCATCCCACACATCGTTGTTCCAAAGGTCATCTAGAACAATCAGGTACCTGGTCTGCTGCAGTAATTTTTTGATTCTCTCTCTTAGCTGGTCGGTGTTCATACTATCAACTTCTTCAGGGACTGGTTTCCTGATAACTTGGAAGATTTTCTGAACTACGTGTCTTAGGAGCCGCTTTATCTTGAATGGTTGAGAAACAGTGATCCAAGCATGTACCTTAAAACGTTTCTGAACTCTTGCATCCTCGTACACTTGCTTTACCAAGGTCGTTTTCCCCAGTCCTCCCATCCCAACCACCGAGATTGCCTGGCGTCCAGATTCACCCGCCATAAGCAACTCAATCAGCTGCCTTTTGGGCTCACCGATTGCCACCAGATCAGCCTCTTCCAGCAAAAGGGCATCGCCTTGACGGAACCAAGGCTTCCGAGCCTTGCTTGAGCCAGGGTCAACATCAAGCTTGTATTTGACATGTCCCTCGGAGAGGCTTCTGATCTTTGATTTGATGGTTTGGATATCACCAGCAATTTGTCGCCGGGCTATTAATTTCTTGATGATGCGAGAAAGCTTACGAAGGGATGCATGGAATCCATGCCTATGAACATGTGAATGGGACAGCCTGAATTTATCAAGCGCATCTTCAATCTCATAAGCCACATCTCTGACTTGTTTGACCCACACTTTGAGCTGAGGGTCGTCATCTTCCTTTGCATCAGCAACTCTTAAGAAGGCCTTAATGCGCTCCAACTCATCGATTATATCCTCGATCTGGGCTCGGACCCCTGAGAATAGCCTCACCTCCTGTTCAATCAAGGAGGTGAGCCTGTCGAGCAAGAAGGTAACTACACTTTCTGCCATTTCTTTTGGCTTTGAACTTTTGTTTTGAAACTGAGAAGATGATGTATGGTTAGTGTTTGCTGGGAAAACAAAGGGTTTTTTTTTTAAATCTTCAAAAATATTGATGCTGTTTTATGTGAATTCCTGCCTCCTTTTTATAGGTTATATGGTGGTACAAGAGAAATGGTCCAATTTTATTGCTACCACAGAAATGGTCAAAGTTTTCTCTCAAACAATTTGCTCATCTCTTTACTTTGCAGCTTCCTTATTTTTTGTTTTTATCTTCCTTTGTAAGCTACCAGGAAAAACTGAATGGTGATGGTCCAGTTGTATACTTCTCTACTAGTAGGTGGGAGGCCATTAGGTTCTAACTCCTGTGGATAGCGTTCAATATCAAGTCATCCACCCTGTGAAATATCATTGCAATTAAATAAAAAGTTTTTTTATTTTTGTGTTCTATGTGCCCTCGTGGTTTGGATTTTTCTGTTTGACTTTCCGGGTTCAAATTTTCACTCTTCAATATAATATTAGTTAGTGTAGAATATCGTTTGTACGAAAGAAAAATATTGAATAAAATGTCGAGTTAGACAAAGTTTAGTTGCGTGGGTGATGAAACAACACGTTGCCGCATATAACCGGATCTGGAAGCAGTCGTTTGACCAGTACAAGTTTCCTAGCAATTACCCAATCATCCATCTTTATGGAGTATTAATATTCCTTAGGCTTTTTATCGAGTATTAATTGTCCACCGTCCATTATTTTGATTCTTCCATTAAAAAACTTCGTTAAGTGGTTCATGAGCTTTTTAACGGGATGTTGAAAATAATAGATGATGGATAATCTTAGAAACTACTTCTATTGATTTTAAACCGCAGGAACCAAAGTTATGTATCATGCAAATCTTAGAAATCATTTTAACTAAAAAGCCTATTCCTTTTTTTTTTCTTCCTTTGTAAACTACGCGGAAAAACTGAATGGTGTTGTAATCCTCACTGTTAATAAGTGAGAGGCTATTAGGTTCTAACTCATGTGAATAGTAAGTTCGATACCAAGTTACTATGGCTTGGCCAAATTATCCACCTTGTGAAATATCGTTGCAACAAAGTAAAAGGTTTTTTATTTTTGTTTTTTATATACCTTGTGGTTAGGAGTTTTCTCTTCGACCTTCTGAGTTCAAATTCTCTCCCCTCTATATAATATTGACTCGTGTAAAATATTGCTTGTACGAAAAAATATATTGAATAGTTGAGTGGGTGATGAAACAGCACGTTGCCGCATGTAAGAGGATCTGGAAGGAATTGTTTGAGCAGCACAAGTTTCCTAGCAATTATCCAATCATCCATCTTTGTCAATTATTAATATTCCTCGTACATGAATTAGATCCTCACCCTCCATTTAATTCAATCTTTACAACCGATGCTAAAACCAGGAGCGCTCTAGGACTAATCGATTAGTAAGTTAATACACTGTTAACCACTCATTTGGATTCATTCTACAAAATGAACTCATGATTTGACCGTTCAATTATTTAAAGGAAAACTAATGAAAATGATTTGAAAATTTTGAGTTTTAACTATAAGAACAAAATAAAGGGTAAAGTGAATAGTACTATGATTGACTTTTTAGTGTAAAAATATGGTTTTTCGTTGTTTTTTTTTTTTGTCAAAATGGTTTTTCGTTATAGTAAACAATATTTGAAGCTTTTCGTTAAAATTTTCATTTTTTAATCATCATTCATACATCATTCTTACAAATATAAACTCAAATTGAAACTCATGTAGCGTCACACATTTCAATAATATTCGACAAAACTGTATTCGTTTATTAATCATATTTCAAATAACAGGAATGTGGATTCACTGAATTGAATGATTATTTATTATTATTTATTTATTCTCAAACAATGATTACACAAGTTGAGGGAGAATTCTAGGGGTGGAACGTTTCAACAAGACGTGTTATTTACAAATAAATCACATCATGTCAAACCAAAGCTCGCAAGCTGCCAAATAAAATGAGGGGGAAAAGATCAACAAGGGCAACGATATCTCAAGAAATTACAAGTGTTTACAAAAATTAGTCAATGGAGTATATCGCGCGTTTCACTGAAATTGGACTGTCAAGATTGGTCAAAATAGGCAGACAGCCTCTTTTAGAGATGCAGTTGGAGATGCTCTGATGAACAAACTGTTACAATTTACATGTAGGCATCAGAGCCTTTTTGTTATGTCATGGACTTCATAAGTATCCCCTATTAAGGCCTCCATGCACCGATATTATCCACACGTAACCACTTAAGCCCAATCCCCTGGTGCTATCAAGCCCAACGGACCTCAAGTGAGATTTTATTTCAAAAAGGCATGATGCAATTAGAAGTGGAGATTATTGTCGTACTTCTCCGATGATGGACTTTCCTCACATCCATCTTGGCTTGTATCGAGCCAGCCTTTTACACCAACACTTTTTGACACACCTGACCTGATATTCACCAAACACCAAGGTAGACACGTGCTGGCCGACACCCGAATGTAAAAAAGCCATATTAGGATGCATAAGAACTAAGAATAAAACTTGTAAATTTAATTATAATGAAAATGCATTTATGAAACGTGTTCAGAATATACAACTAATCTGAGACACTAAAAAGGAATAATATAAAATTGAATGAACAAAAAGATGGGTCCTACACCAAGAGGACTCGAAGATGCCGATGCAGGAGTGCCTTGACGCCGGGATTGTACGCCTTAAACCTAAGTCTTGAGGAAGCGCAAAACAAAACATGAGTGAACCAAGTTGATATATAATTAGGAATAAAACAGTTGATCTTTAACGTACTAACCTCCAGGTTTAGATAGCATAATAAGTAATAGGTTTTTTCCGAAAACTTTAGCATGCCATAAAACCTTTCATAAAACATATAACGTATATATGTTGCTTAGTAGTAGCACAAGGCATATATATATAACTTCATTCGCCCGAAGGCACTTTTGGCCGAAGCCAATATATAAGTATCATCCACCCGTAGGCACCAACCAAACGCCCAGCCGTAGCCAATATGAATATCTTCCGGCCTAAGCCACCAACCTACGCCTGGCCGAAGCCATATATAAGTATCATTCGCCGATAGGCAGTATCATTCAAGTAACCACTAAATAAGCACATAAAAACATTAACATAATATTTCTAATATATATCTATCTATCTATCTCAACCGGAGCTCAGTAGCTAAAACGTCTTATCATAAAACCACGTTCACAAGTATATATATAGTCATCAATCATATATACCACAAGGAACGTAAAGTCAATAAAGCATGCTAATTCATAAAGTGTAAATCCAATTTACTCATAAACGTTTTATAAAACGTAACCAATAAATCATGTTTTTTACGTATGCATTTCTAATAGTAAAATATGCATTTTAGAAGGGGTTCACTCATAGATACTTTGTCATTGAAGAGCCGTGCAATTAGAGAGGATGGAAATGCCATAAACAATTGCACCTAAGCACCATAAAGGTACCAATTAATAAAACTCTATCATAATGATTGAATTTCGGGAAATGGACGTCATAAACGGATTCAAGACGTCGAAAAACATAAAGGGAACCTTGGGTACCCCCACGTGCCGCCACAGGGTGGCGGCCCCGACGACCACGCACCGTCGCATGCTCTGCCACGCACCATTTTGGGTCATCGTCGCTGCCATCACAAAACCTCCAGTGGAGGTACGTGTGCTCGGCGCACTGGCCATGGGTTTGGAATCTGACTGGGTTGGGCTTGGTTTCTGGGCTAGGGCCACTGGGTTTTGGGTTTGGGCTTGTAACTAGGCTGGGTTATAAAGGTTACAATTATGGATTTGGGCTAAGAGTTTAGGCCGGGGTCCATGGCCCAAAGATTTGGGCCGATTAGGGTTGTAGGGTTATCAGGCCGGTTTCGACGGAGTAGAAAGTCGGAGCTTCCCCAGCTCTGGTCAACCTCAAACCTCAACTACAATCTACGATCTACCCACCAAATTGAAGACAAACAAATGTAGATTAGGATTATACCTTTGGTTTCCCCAGTAGTGGCCAGAGTTGGCCGGAAAAGTCACCTGAAAGTCACGGCATTCTTGTTAGAATCTGGAAAATCCTTTCCTAACTGTTCTTTGTCCAAAAACTACTCGAGAGATGTCACAAACTTACTCCTAAAACGATCTATGGGGTTCTGGAAGCTTACCATGGTCGAGGGTTCGCCGGAGGAGAAAGTCTTTGTTCCACGAGGTTATAGGTTTGAATGCTGGTACCGTTGAGGATCCTCATTCCTCTGCTGAGATGGCGACTAGGTGCATCCAGGTAAGAATGTATGGGTGTGTATGTGTGTTGTTTTCAGAGAGGGGAAGGAGAGTGCACAGAGAATAGAGAGAGAGGTCCGAGAGTGGTTAACGGGGAGGAAGGGGAAGAGAGAAGGGGAGAGGTAAGGGATTTGGGCCGGGGGACAAAATCAAGGGTGGGCCCCATTGGGCACACCATTTAAGACCAAAAGGAAACCTGCTTCAAAATATCTAGCCAAAAGTGAAAATTTACGAAAATATCCTTCCGTTCCGAAATTCGTAAAAATAATCGGGACGGGTTGTCACACTTTTAGAGTGGTAAAAATACAAGTGGGATAAATCTTGTTTCCTAAGCAACTGGTTCATATGGATACCCACAAGTAAAACAATCATAACGTAAAACGCTACAAGTTTTAAGGTATTACGAAGATCGAAAGCAAATACTCGTAAAGCATCCGTGAAATACAACTGATGAGGAAACCAAAATCAAAAGGGTATTATGTATGAGCAGTAAAAGCTTGTTCCGAATTAGCAGATGAGTGCACATTCCTTACCCGGTAGCCGTCAGGCCATTCTGTTCTATCATTCTATGTTGCTGCAGCCAGGACTAGTTTCCATAGCCAACTTTATGTGTTTACTGCTCTAAGTAGCTCAAATGGTTTCATAATCGTAATGCGAACTAATCTTCATCGTCAGAGTTGAAGGTTATTTTTTGAGACTTTGGAGCATCTGCAGGAATCTCTTTGAAGTGAGCCCCGTAAAGTTTGGACTCCTGTATTTCAATACCACAACGAAAGATCATCAGAAAAAAGATCGTCAAAATGCTACACTCATGCAAGCGGATTAAAAGAATGCAGAACACGAATATGGATTATTCAGCAACCAGCAGGAAAAGCTAAATACGGGAGATGAAAGAGAAACAAATGCGTGCCTTTTTCTTAACATGAGTGCCAAATTTTAACAAGGCTTCAGGCACAATTTGGCTGGCTTCTCTGAGAACATTGACCATCTCCCCCGCAAGTCCCTGGAACAGTACTCGTAACATATAGTAGTTCGGCTTAGAATTCTTAGTGTTACCTTGGTCCGATGTGTGAAAAAAGTATGAGCAACACCCTTCTTTCCAGCCCGTCCAGTCCACCCAATTCGGCGGACATAATCCTCAGTAGTGAGAAGAAAACTATAGTTAATCACTACTTCAACATTTGGAATATCCAATCCACGAGCAGCCACATCAGTAGCTATCTGGAAATATGTTTCAGATAAAATGGAATACATTTTAACACAGTTCCCAGATATAGGTGTTTCAGATAGAAGTAAGCATATGCTAACCACAAGTTCCCCAACAAAAAGTTTGTACAGATTTAATAACTCATATACCCCTAAAGGGCCTATACACAAACATTTAAACCCAGTGGAAGAAACTATAATATAGTTGGGAGGATTGTAAAAACCTACCCCGACTTCCACGATATACATGAATATTGTTTTGGACTTGTCCAAGATCCTTGTGGGTCTGTTTTGTCATCATCATTATCTTTTAATTTTCAAGTTTGATACAGTAAAAACTTATTCTCTCACTTTTCCTAATTCCTGATTTTTGTAACTGAATTAAAATAAGTTTGGATTAGTGTATTAAAAGCGTGAGGCGTGAGTTTAATATATACATTAAGCGTACACATATTATATTAAAAAAAAGATTATTAACCAATAATCACTCCGAGCACACACATATATAGGCATAATATATATATATATATATATAATAGAGGATGAAAAGCACAATGAGCACACATATACATAATACAATGCACGCAGACATCACACGCATCCATTATATAAAAAATAAAAATCAGAAAAAGGCAGATAGACAATAGTGCAAGGAAGAGGTATGAGGCAATTAAAACCCTACCCAAAATTTGGGTTTGGGAGTTTAAAAAAAAAAAAAATCCCTGAGGCACCCCTTCTGCCTAGGCGGCTCCGGCAAAGCCTTATGCCCACTCCCTCAAAACAGAGGCGGCAACCCTCAAGCCCAGCCTCAGAGCGCGCCCCTAGGCGCCCTGAGACGAGCCTTTTAAAACATTGGTTTGGATACAAATGAAGAGTTCCCCCTAAACAGGGTAGAAAAGAAAATGGGGCATGTGATCTTATGAGCTAAACCGTCCAATTCTTAGATAAAATGAGGGGGAAGCAAAGAAGACATAGTGTCAACTTTAGTTTATTAGCATCCAGATAAAATATATCACTTCTCTCGAACAACATACCACCAAGAGGCAGCTTCCTTTCTTGAATAGAGAGAGTGCCTTCGTACGCTCACTTTGTGCCTTGTCACCGTGTATAGAAACAGCCTTCCAACCTCTACAAAACAGCAATCCATAGACCCTTAGTAGCTTTCCTCAAATATCTTCAGCAGCAACTCAAATATGCATCAACAAGGTTACCCTTTTTGCAGCATAATCTCAACACAAGTGGCTTCCTTTTTGTACAAGACAAAAATCAAAACTATGTTCCTGTTCAACAGTATAACCTCGGCATTAGCAGATATCAAAATACACCCAAAATATTGAAGGAGCTCCATTGTGTGACATAAACATTGAGCATGTACAGTCAGTAAACCAAGTGGAATCCATCATACAAATACACAACACTAGGTCCAAAAACAATCCGCCAGGGATTGACCAAGACACAAGTTAAAATAAAATAATGGGAGATAATGAGCCAATACTTACTCTTAGATTTGTGGCATTTTTCTAGCAATGCAACCAAGCGCCCATCACATGAATGTTCATCCAACACCTATGAATGTGAAAGGGAAGTCAATTGCAGTAAGCATATATTGAAATAACAAAGTAAACATTTGATTGTCACATATGTTTCACGTGTGTTAAGAATTTGTACCTCAACTATCTGCATAACATCATGGTTGGCAGCTAAATCCTCTGACCCAACAACAACCTGAAATAATGCTTTATTAGTTTTCCAAAAGGTTAATAGAAAATATTAAAGATCATGATAATCCAGAATTCGCACCTTAACAGGATTAGGGTCCATGAACTCCTGAGCTAACTGATGAACTGATGGAGGCCATGTAGCCCTGAACATTACCATTTGGCGAGCTGCAAAGTCAAAATTAACCGAACTGATTAGAAAGATCCGAGAATACTGAAATATCACAGTTTTAAGTGGGAGAGACCCTACACCACCCAAACTTGGAGCAAACTTAAACACTTCAACCTAATTGTAGTCTAGAATTTTAATTAGCCATAAATTTTCCAATAAATTCATTTCAGAAATTCTAACTACTCATGATAGTCCTTAGGAAAGCAGCTGGGGGAAATAGACATTACTTCTTATTTCATATTTAGGCAAGTGTCATTTTGCATTTCTATACTATCGACTACCTGGCATCTTTTGCCCCATTATCTAAGGCTTGAGAGCATCTACAAAAACAAATTAATAGGTCTCTTGCAACTGAATTACCTCCAGGCCGCTCATAATTTAACATCATTTTCAGTTATATCTCTATTAGAAACAAAAACGGTTGTCAAACAAATGTATAAGTCAAAATGAATGTCTTTCCTCTCTCTATGAATAGGTATCCAATAGTGCTAAACCTGTATACGTACATCTGGAAGAGCATATAATTCCTCATATAAGTTCCCCATATGATCATGGAATCAGCAATACCAAAAAGAAAAAAAGCATTTAATAAGTTATTTAAATATTAAAAAAAATTAAATCTTTGAGACTTAATTGAAGTCCTCCCAAACAAACTAAAGAAATTGATGTCACCAGATAGATAAAGAAAGACCTATTAACAGTACATCACGTACCAGAGCATGTCTGACCCGATATATAGCGAACTTCTGGTTCAAATCCCATGTCAAGCATTCGATCTGCTTCATCAAGGACCTACAAAAAATTCTAATATATTCACATCCAAACTAAAGTAGAAAATGAAATCTAATGATACTTCCTCTAGGTAAAAGATAATTACCGTAATAGATACTTCCTCCAGGTAAAAGATAATTACCGTAATAGATACTTCCTTCAGGCAACACACCCATTTCAATGATCTTTCAAACGACCATGAGTTCCAATGATGATGTCCTAAGAGCACAAAAAAGCGTAGAAAAGCCAATTATAAGAAGATGAACCACATACTGTATGCAAACATATAACCTCTACAGAATCCACCTGCACATGTACTGAACTAATTCAATCAGCCTTTTGCCCAAATCAAAAGAATAAAATTTTCAATTTTTCTGTTTAAAGTTTAAAACTCCGCCGTGTAAGTTTATCTTACATTGCCGGTCCCAAGCCCGGATAAAGGAGGAGGGGGAGGGCGTCAGGTAGTCGACAGCCAGCACTCCATGATTACGTCGAATCCTTATGAAAATGAATCCAGAACGAAATCGTGCTAAAGCTAGGGCGTCACCCGTAAGTGGCGCGCTGTGTGGCCCGAGCACAGTGATAAGTGAGCAAGGGTCGCTGTATCTCCATCGGCACCCGGATGCAATGTTAAATGAGCAAGGGGGCTATAGAAACTTCTTTTCGAACGACTCCACTCAAAGTTGTTTGGGAGCATATGCTCCTATCAACTTTACACGGGACACACAAAAGAAGTACTTTGATCCTATTAGACGGGGAAGGGTGAAGAAGCTAGGACAGAAGGGTAGAGTTCAAGAGAGCAAAATGTGTTTAGGAACGTGAAATATAGGAACCTTGACGGGAAAATCTATGGAAGTAGTAGAAGTTATGGTGAGGAGAAAGATAAATATTATGTGCCTACAAGAAACTAAGTGGGTTGGTCGTAAGGCAAAGGATCTAGAAAACTCAGGGTTTAAACTATGGTATTCGGGCACAAATAGAACGAGAAACGGTGTTGGCATCATCGTGGACAAGACCTTGACACAAGATGTTGTAGATGTTAAGAGGGTAGGAGATAGAATCATGGCAATCAAGATTGTAATAGGACAAGAACTTATCAATGTGATTAGTGCGTACGCACCTCAAGTAGGGTTGGATACGAGTTCGCAGGAGAAATTTTGGGAAGACCTTGGAGACTTGGTGCAAGGAATTGCTCAGACGGAGAAGTTATTTATAGGAGGAGATTTAAATGGACACGTGGGCAGGGAGACAGGCAACTATGGAGGTTTTCATGGTGGCCATGGTTTTGGGGAAAGAAACGAGGATGGGGAAGCTATCTTGGATTTTGCAATGGCATATGATCTCTTCTTAGCCAACACCTTCTTTAAGAAGAGAGAAGAACATGTGATCACCTACAAGAGTGGGTCGTCAACAACACAAATAGATTTTCTTCTAATGAGGAAAGGGGATCGTATAACTTGTAAGGATTGCAAAGTTATACCAGGAGAGAGCGTGGCTAATCAACATCGCTTGTTGGTGATGGATGTACATATCAAAAGAGTGAGAAAAAAGAACAAGACTTGGAAGTGTCCAAGGACTAGATGGTGGAATCTAAAAGAAGAAAAACAAGCCATTTTCAAAGAGAAAGTAATCACCCAGTGTGTGTGGGATAGAGAGGGGGAAGCTAACCAAATGTGGGATTCCATGGCTAGTTGTATCCGAAAAGTAGCAAAAGAGGTATTAGGAGAGTCCAAGGGCTTTGCCCCACACCAAAAGGAATCTTGGTGGTGGAATGAGGAGGTACAAACAAAGGTGAAGGCTAAGAAGGAATGTTGTAAAGCCTTATACAAGGATAGGACCGATGAAAATGGTGAAAGGTATAGAAAAGCGAAGCAAGAGGCGAAGAAAGCTGTGAGAGAAGCTAAGTTAGCGGCTTATGACGATATGTATAAGCGACTAGATACCAAAGAAGGAGAGTTTGATATCTATAAACTAGCTAGAGCAAGGGAAAAGAAGACAAATGACCTAAACCAAGTGAGGTGCATCAAGGATGAGGATGGAAAGGTTCTTGCTACAGAGAACGCGGTTAAAGACAGATGGAAATGTTATTTTCATAATCTTTTCAATGAAGGACATGAAATGAGTGCTTCTTTAGGGGAGTTGAGTAACTCAGAAGAGTGTAGAAACTACTCTTTTTATCGTAGAATCCGAAAGGAAGAAGTGGTTGTAGCTTTGAAGAAGATGAAGCATAGAAAAGCAGTAGGCCCAGACGATATACCAATCGAAGTGTGGAAAGTTTTGGGAGAGACAGGTATAACATGGCTCACTGACATTTTCAATAGGATTTTGAAAACGAAGAAGATGCCAAATGAGTGGCAAACGAGCACTTTGGTGCCTATCTACAAGAATAAGGGCGATGTACAAAATTGCATGAACTATAGGGGTATTAAGCTAATGAGTCATACAATGAAGCTTTGGGAGAGAGTCATTGAGCATAGATTGAGGCAAGAAACACGGGTTTCGGACAACCAATTCGGGTTCATGCCATGGCGCTCAACCATGGAGGCAATCTATCTCTTACGAAGATTGATGGAAAGATATAGAGATGGGGAAAAGGATTTACACATGGTCTTTATAGATTTGGAAAAAGCGTATGATAGGGTCCCAAGAGACATTCTTTGGAGGATTTTAGAGAAGAAAGGAGTACGAGTAGCATATATCCAAGCTATACAGGATATGTATGAAGGAGTAAAGACTGCCGTAAGAACTCATGAAGGACAAACCGAAAGCTTTCCCATAACTGTAGGATTACATCAAGGCTCATCCTTAAGTCCTTACCTTTTTGCGTTGGTAATGGATGAGTTAACAGGACATATTCAAGATGATATTCCTTGGTGTATGCTTTTCGCAGACGATATAGTGTTGATAGATGAAACTCATGAAGGGGTAAATGCAAAGCTTAACCTTTGGAGAGAAGTGTTGGAATCTAAAAGTCTTCGCCTAAGCCGATCAAAGACAGAATATATGGAGTGCAAGTTCAGTGCAAATGGAGGCCAAAACGAGTTAGGGGTGAGGATTGGAGATCAAGAAATACCAAAGAGCGATCGTTTTCGTTACCTAGGATCTATCTTGCAAAAGAACGGAGAATTAGATGGAGATCTCAACCATAGAATACAAGCTGGATGGATGAAGTGGAAGAGTGCATCTGGCGTGTTGTGTGACCGCCGTATGCCACTGAAGCTCAAGGGAAAATTTTATAGGACGGCAATAAGGCCGGCGATGCTGTATGGCACAGAATGTTGGGCGGTGAAGCATCAACACGTACACAAAATGGGTGTAGCGGAGATGATGATGCTTCGTTGGATGTGTGGGCACACGAGAAAGGATAAGATTAGGAATGAGGATATCCGGGGTAAAGTAGGAGTAGCCGAAATTGAAGGAAAGATGAGAGAAAATCGGTTACGGTGGTTTGGACATGTGCAAAGAAGGCCTACTGACGCTCCGATTAGAAGATGCGACTATGAGACAGAGGTTCAGGGCCGAAGGGGTAGAGGAAGACCTAGGAAAACTTTGGAAGAGACCCTAAGAAAAGACTTAGAGTACTTGGATCTAACGGAGGACATGACACAAGACAGAACACAATGGCGTTCTAAGATTCATATAGCCGATCCTACTCAGTGACTTGGATTTTCCAAGTCTCTAACCAAGAAGTTTTCCTCACTCGGGAAATTAAGGGAACACTACCTCAACCTACATGCTCCACTCACAAAGTTTCAACATACAAGCTTCAACAAAAGAAAATTCAAAGAACTTAGCGAAGAAGGCTTTGGTGTATTTAACACAATACGTTGAAATGAAGGAAAGCTTATTTATTGATATACCCGATAAGTTACAAATATGTACATATACTTGAGTCAAAATAAACAAACAAGAGGAAACCTTCACAAAGGTTGCTTAGGAGAAGTCTCAGCAGTCGGTAGAGCCCCAGAAAGAGAAGGCACCGGAGGGGGATCATCGGAGCCTCAGTACTGGACAGAACCCTAGAAGGAGGAGGCATTAGAGGTTGATCATTTGGAGCTTCATTACGCGGTACAGCCCCAGAAGACGAAGGCAATAAATGCCTTTGGAACAAACCCACAAATCTCTGATGATCAAGTAAAACCTGACCATCAGATTCCTTCATCTGGTCAAGCTTCCTCTTCATGTTTGTAGCATAGTCATGTGCGAGCCAGTGCAACTGTTTATTCTCATGCTTGAGCCCTCTAATCTCCTGTTTGAGACTCATCACTTCAGCCGCCAATGATTCAACTTGGCGGGTTCGAGCAAATAGACGTTGGGCCATATTAGACACAGAACCTGCACACTGAACACTGAGAGCCAAAGAATCCTTAACAGCGAACTCATCAGACCGTTTGGAAAGTAGTCTGTTATCTTTGGGAGTGAGAAGGTTCCTGGCCACTACCGCAGCGGTCATATCATTTTTCATCACGGAATCCCCAACGGTAAGAGAACCAGTAGGGGAGATGAAGGATGGGAGCCATATGTTGTCTGGAGAAGGCGGGGCTGTCTCTTCAATAAGGTTCAAGTCAAAACGACGGTCGGAGAGGCCATACATTTTCAAAGGTGTTGAAGAGAGAAGAGGTCGGACAAATCAAGATCTTAGAAGTGCAAGAATGGAGCTTCTACTTGTGGATATTCAAGTGTGCTTTGGAACTTAATGTCAGCCCCTATAAAAATCTGCACTCGACGAAGCTTCAGAAATCGAAGAGGCGCCTGCTCAGAAATCGAAGAGGCGTTTGCTTTCTCAAAAGCTGGGCTGCTCAGACCACGAGGTCGTCGATCTCAGAAATCGAAGAGGCGTTTACTTTCTCAAAAGCTGGGCTGCTCAAAGACCACGAAGGCCGATCTCAGAAATCGACGAGGCTTGCTTTCTCAAAAGCTGGGCTGCTCAGAGACCACGAGGGCCAATCTCAGAAATCGAAGAGGCACCTACTTTTCCAGCCTTGTCAGCACCTGTCACACGCATACTCAGCTTCGCGGAAATTATGGGCATTCTGTCGAAGTAGAAAGCACATGAATCGTACTGTTCAATCAACCACTTCCCACACGCAACAGTAGCTCATGGGTACCACAGATAACTTTGCCAAAGTTCTCTGACAAAGTTGAGACACGTGAAGCTTGCAGCTCCCACTACATCGCTCTGACCAAGAAGGGTAAAAGAATAGCAAAGAAACAACACTAACAAAGTTTAGACACATAAATTTTGAAGGTCTAGCTACCATATTATTACCCACAAGGGTAAAGGAACAGTACCACTGCTGGATAATTGGAAAGTCCCGGTGTGTCAACCTCTGTGATTCGTGGCACGGTAGACTAGCAAACATGCCCAACCTTTACTCACATTCGAGAAAACACTCCCAACAAGATTGCTTGCTCCAAAATCGAAGAGGCACCGCCCTCCGAATCTCGAGAGCCAGACTCCCAACATGATTACTTTCTCAAAATCGAAGAGAGGGTAAAGGAACAGTACCACTGCTGGATAATTGGAAAGTCCCTGTGTGTTAACCTCTGTGCTTCGTGGCAAGGTAGACTAGCAAACATGCCCAACCTTTACTCACATTCGAGAAAACACTCCCAACAAGATTGCTTGCTCCAAAATCGAAGAGGCACCACCCTCCGAATCTCGAGAGCCAGACTCCCAACATGATTACTTTCTCAAAAATCGAAGAGAGGGTAAAAGAACAGTACCACTGCTGGATAATTGGAAAGTCCCTGTGTGTCAACCTCTGTGCTTCGTGGCAAGGTAGACTAGCAAACATGCCCAACCTTTACTCACATTCGAGAAAACACTCCCAACAAGATTGCTTGCTCCAAAATCGAAGAGGCACCGCCCTCCGAATCTCGAGAGCCAGACTCCCAACATGATTACTTTCTCAAAAATCGAAGAGACACCGCTCTCCGAATCTAGAGAGCCAGACCCCCAGCAGGATTGCTTTCTCAAAAATTGAAGAGGCATCGTTCTCCGAATCTCGAGAGCCAGATCCCCGAAAGGATTGCTTGTTCGAAAACCGAAGAGGCACCACTTTCCCAACTTCAAGAGTTGGATCTCCTTAGATAAAGCTTGTCTGTAATCTTTACACGCAACATCAGCTTTCCAGATACCACAGACCACTTTTTCAAAGTGCTCTGACAGAGTTAAAACATGTGAAGCTGGCAGCTCCTACTACCGTACTATGACCAAGCAGGGTAAAGAAATAGCATTATTACTTGATGTTAGGGAGACTCCTATATATGTCAACCTCCATCCCCAACGGACAGGCAGACCTGCAAAAATGCTCAACCCTTCCTCTTATCTGAGAGGGCACTCCCAACGAAGCCTTTCGAAATATTCAGCTTTCTTTCCCCCCGATAATACCTCTGTAAACAAGCTATACTAGAGCAAGAATATCTCATATCATCAGGGTTAAAAGCAAGAGTATCCCATATCATGCTTTTTCCCTGTCTTTTCCTTTGACCTTGTTCTTACCTGCAAGACAAGGAGAAAGAGAGCAATCAGTCAGCACTTGGAATCAAGCTTCCAGCCAGGAACTGACTGCCTGGAACCCCTTACCTGATTACTTACCTGGCATTGCTCTCGAGTACTCATCTTCAACATCTTATGCTTCTAGGGAAGATACCGCATCTGCCTGAGGAACAGATAGGGCAAGTGAGAAGGATACAAGGAAGCATGTGGAGACAAGCGTAACAGCACACGTGCCGATACATCCACTACTCTGTCAAAAGCAAAAGTATCCCATATCAGCAGGGTCGAACGTACACTAGATTTGATGGACTTGTTTTGACCCTCAAATTCTTCAGTCGGCCTTATACTCTGGAGGAAACCAGAAAACCCTCCAGCCCAGTTCAAGAATAAGCCTGTGGAAAGTTACTTCTTCAAAAGCAAAAGTATCCCATATCATCTCTTCTCATTTTTCTTCTCTTTATCCTTCATGTTGCCTGCAAGATAGGGAGAATGTGAACAATCAGCCGGAGCTCTGATTGGTTACCTTGTCTGTCACCTCTTTCAGCAGATCCCCTAGCTCGGCGACTTGGGGGACTCCTACTACATGGTTTGTATCGCGCTTGACCAAGCCTAAAACTACAAGTAAGCTTCAAGTGAAATTGATACATTACCTTGTGCATCTCCACCAGTTATAGATACCACCCCTGGATGGAGGAAGAGTACTTCCAGAGAAGATGCCACATCTACCTATGAGACAGATAAGGCAAGTCAAAACGATACCACACTTCGGTACTTAGAAGTTTTGTGGTTACGAGATCATTCTTCCACAATATTTCCTAATGTTATTTGTACTAAATCATTCACTTGTACTCACTAAAGGAGAGCTTGAACCTATGTACTTGTGTAAACCCTTCACAATTAATGAGAACTCCTCTATTCCGTGGACGTAGCCAATCTGGGTGAACCACGTACATCTTGTGTTTGCTTTCCTATCTCTATCCATTTATATACTTATCCACACTAATGACCGGAGCAATCTAGCGAAGATCACAAAAAGTGACCGTTTTCGCTACCTATGATCTATCTTGCAAGAGAACGGAGAATTAGATGGAGATCTCAACCATAGAATACAAGCTGGATGGATGAAGTGTAAGAGTGCATCCGACGTGTTGTGTGACTGTCGTAGGCCACTGAAGCTCAAGGAAAAATTTTATAGGACGGCAATAAGGCCAGCGATGTTGTATGGCACAGAATGTTGGGCGGTGAAGCATCAACACGTACACAAAATGGGTGTAGCGGAGATGAGGATGCTTCGTGGGATGTATGGGCACACGAGAAAGGATAAGATTGGGAATGAGGATATCCGAGGTAAAGTAGGAGTAGCCAAAATTGAAGGAAATATGAGAGAAAATCGGTTACGGTGGTTTGGACATGTGCAAGGAAGGCCTACTGACGCTCCGGTTCGAAAATGTGACTACGGGACAGAGGTTCAGGGCCGAAGGGGTAGAAGAAGACCTAGGAAAACTTTGGAAGATGCCCTAAGAAAAGACTTGAGTACTTGGATCTAACGGAGGACATGACACAAAATCGAGCGCAATGGCGTTCTAGGATTCATATAGCCGACCCCACTTAGTGGGAAAAGGCTTTGTTGTTGTTGTTGTTGTCTGTTTAAAGTTTAAACCCAACCGATGTGGTATCACTAACAGTAGGAATGACTTGCTTAAACGCATTACATGCCAAATCATCAAATTCTGTCATCAAAATATTGCAGGGAATGGGAGGGCACACTTAGTTAAATTAGAGATATTGGACTTATACAATTAGAAAATGGAAATATTAGCAGTGTATTAAAAGGCAAAGGCGTAGGTGATAGGGATGGCAACGGTTTGGTTTGGGGACGGAAATGCTATATCCATCCCCATAACCACGAAAATTAATCATATCCATAATTGCAAATTAACCATCAGGTATAATCCATAATCATACCCTCCGGGTAACGGATTGCCGATCAGTTAACGGTTATATCTATCTTCGTCAATACAAAAAATATATTCATTCAATTGACGCATGATAATTTAGTAAACATTAGTTTCATCATTAAATATTTGATGTATAAAATGATTTAATGAATGGATCTTACAACACCAGCCTTCAACGAAGATATCTGGGGTCCTTTGGGTGCTCCTCCATACAAACAAACTCATATCACACCACAAGGTTTCCCAGCCTCAAACAAAACATCTGAAATCTGCAACCAGAAGATAAAGCAAATGGTCGGTCACCTTTTTCAATTAATAACCTTGAATTTATCCAAAGATCACAAATCACATGCCCAAGCAGCAGGTGAAAAGAAATGTATGCAAGAACAACGCATTATCAGTATGACCAAGTATGAACATGGTCGACAAGCTTGTTTCACTCTATTATTTGTTAAGCATAATTCTTACGTAAAAGTTAGTGGCGTTTGAACAACAGGACATGATACTTGCTGACCCATGTAGAAACTCCTTGAATGCTTAAAAAGAAATCCCCTTTTTTTCTTACATCAGAACCAATGGAACTCTTGGTCTATCTTATTGCAAAAAACATTTCCCCGACCCTCCCTCACCACGGGGCAATCCCAAGGTACTAGCCTACATTGAAAAAATAGCACAGAACCCGGGATTGAGTCGGAGAAGGACTCTTGAAATTCTGACAGCACTGTAAAACATCACTGGGAAGCTTCGATTCTGCAAAGGAAGTCAATGGCTTGTATTTGTCTTCCTTTGCATCTTTCCCAGTAACTGCCACAGCCGCGTCTCCAGATTCTCCTTTGTCGGCATAGCCAATTTCCTGTGGCTCCTGATTGTGTTCGGGTTCTTCCTCCTCTTTGGATTTCTGGTGCTTCTTCTTCTTCTTCTTGTCAATAGAATCTGAGTTTTCTTCCTGAGGAGCAATCTCTTGGGATTGGAACTGAGTTGGGCTTCTTCTTCGTCTTTGTTTTTCTGCTTCTTCCTCCTCTCGGCTGTGGTTTCGTGGAGAGGTTGGGTCCGTTGCGGTTCTGCCTCGCCGACGGCGGCGGAGGTTTCTTTGGTTTTGCGACCCATTGCTGAATCTCAACTCAGCTTTGCTCGCCTGATAAACTGCGGAAGGAAAATCAGCAGAGGGCGACGAGGGGTTTTGGGTTTTCAGAGGGAAAGGGGTTTATTCTAGGGTTTTGACCTTTTGACTATGTATGTATGTATCTGTAAAATGCAGCACGTGAAACAATAACTTACATTTGGGTACTCACTTTAACTCACTTTAACTCAACTTTGAAAGTTTAATTGTCAATAGTAAATAGTAAATGACGGGTTACGAGGTTTATTTAAAATTAAAAAATAGAAGTTTTGGGTTCAAAATTCGTTGCTGGTGTGGAAGTAAGACTTGTGGCCAAAGAAGGTTGAAATACTTCTATGAGTCTTCTCGACCCCCGAAATGAATGAATAACCATAACTTGTCATCAGTTGTCCCTTTTTTTTTTAAATGGAAAAAAAGAAAAAGGAATTGCCAATAAGACCCTGAACACTCATTCAATATATGAGTTAAGTTGTGTTGAAGTATTATTAACCCAATTGAAACCGACATATTCGAATATTAACAAGTTTTAAATATAAATGTATATTAGAGATAGACATATGCATAAAATTTAATATTTTTAGAGCCAGCGTTAGTGAGTTAGATAGTTAGTTGTAAGGAAGAGGAGAATTGATAAGGATCAAACTCGCAACATGGCCTACTTTACTTGGATAATGAAACTTAAACATTAAGTAACTAACAAATAACAAGTAGTGATTCCATAACACCAAATTTACATAAGTTAGTAGAGCATAATTTGGATTATTTGTCACTTACACCCACATTAAGAATAACAAAAAAGTAATTGATTCCAACCCCGCTCAACTCAACTCGCCAATGAATGGTTTGCTCATTTTGTGGGTGGAAATGAGTTTTAAAAATGCCAAGTCAAGCCTATTGAGTTGGCCAACGTATTGGTTTCAAATCTGAAACTATTACGCCACATACATTCATGAGGGTGAGATGGAAGTCTTTATCTTGTTAAATATATTTTTTAAAAGCTAAATAAAATCACTTAGTACTATGGTAATAACATTCATCTTCATTGATCGATTTTAATTTGAAGAATTATTTTGATGGGTTAGGCCAACTTCAACTACCATTCATAATCAAAACAGGTATAAAAATGAAAGTGGGCGTAGAAGGAGAGAGAAAATGCTTAAGAGAGAATTCGAATCCATAAAAAATTGAAAAACAGTTTAAAACTAGTGACCACTAACCGTTGGATCAAATCCAACGGCTTAGAAAAGCGTCGGCACTTCCAAATTTGCAAGTTATCCCGCGTAGGCGTGGCCACTAAGCCACTCTCTCTCTCTCACAGAATAAAGTGGGAGTGCAGTAGCGGTGCCTCTCACACAACAGAAACTCTCTCTCTCTCTCTCTCTCTCTAGATCTTGTGCAAAATTTGGGGATCTAGCCATGAATCGCCACCACGACCCCAACCCATTTGACGAAGAAGAAGTCCAGGTCGAGGTCAATCCTTTTTCGGTAATTCTGCCTCTTTCTTTTTCTCCAATTTCGCAAATTTTCGATCTGGATCTGAAAACTTCAAATTTGTTCTTTTCCTTCTTCCGTTTGGTAGTGAGGAACATGATGTGAATTTGGAAATAATGTTATGTTAACCTATCAAATTGAGTTGTAAAGTTTAATTAACATGCGGATTTGCAGTCTTAAGCACTTCCCAGTGCTCACTGTGCAAGTATACTTAGCTTAGACCCAATGTAATATGTACGAAAAAAGGGATTTTTCGGGTTAGAAAAGCTTATAAGTCTTGATCTGGGTTAGGGTTTGGACTTCTGTGAATTTGTATAAAATTCAAACTTAGAAATTTTTTACCTCTTTCACTTCAAATCCAGCAGTGTGGAAAAAGACGAATTTGGGCAACATTTCTTTAGTTTTTTCTTTAAAAATGAAAACAAAGCGAATGAAAATCCGGTAAATTTGGAAGTGAGGTACAATATATAGCTTAGAGATTGGGTTTATATCTGCCCTGTACTCTTCTTTGTTTTCGTTTTTTTTAATTTGAAAATTTTATCATTTAGCCCTCCTCCCCCGTCTAAACAATGGTGCTCTTTTACATTTTGTTGGCCTTCTCATTCTTTAATAGTGATATTCTTATGATTTACCGCCTACCTCCTATCGTGAAGGGAACATGATAATTCTTAAAAATCACGGATTAATTTTGTTTATATATATAGAGTTCAACTTCTTTTGTTTTTGTTTTTTTTTTTTTTTCATATCATTGGATTTTGAACCTTATGTAAACAATGTAAGAAACCATGATTGTAGATTATTTCAGTGACGCAGTATGACATATTAATGATGAATTAGAGATGTTAAACTTGGTTCTTAAAAGTTGAATGGAATGAAGCGGGTTACAATGCAATGTTGTTTGCTTCTTTCATATCTTTATGAAGTCCTAGTTCTTTGTACATAGGCAATAGGCATTTTAGAAATTATAGATCTCATGCCATGTCTTGTGCATATGCTATTTAATTGTAAGGCATTTTAGAAGTCACATGTTGCCACACCGTTCATTTTCCATTTCATGTGATATGATACCAAAACCACTTTTGGATTTTAATCGATACGACTGCATGGTTTGGACATGTTTTATTAAGACTGGTGCAAAGCGTAGTTTATATATATTTTCCCTATCATCCTTAATACGAAGGTGTTAAAATGTGCCATAATTTGAGAATTTTGCAGAATGGTGCTGCTGCTCCTATGTCAAAGTCGCGTGTTCCACCAGTGTCATCTGAACATCTGGGTTTTGGGCAGAAACATGATGCCACAGTCGATATACCGTTGGATACCATGAATGTAAAGTAGTTTTATTTTGTATACATTTTTTTCTCTCTATGAGCTTGTTTATGTATTGTTTGGCCATTTTCTGCAGGATTCTAAGCAAAAGGCAAAAGAGCTTGCAACTTGGGAAGCGGATCTCAAGAAGCGAGAAAAGGTTAATTGACAAATTTTTTGATTGATTACTTGCCTACAGTTCTACCTTTATTGTGTAATTCGCTTTATATTCTTGTGAGTTTACAAATGGATAAATTGATCACATATCTGGAATGTTGCCTGTAATAATATCACCGAGTGCACAGTGGGAGTGGCTGAGGCACATGGGTTTGTCCCAAGTTGCCTCAGGTGTGAAATCCCAACGTACCTTTCTTGCAATTGGTAATGTTTCCCGTCCCCCATGATTATAGGGTTCAGTGGTGGGCCCCAGTTTAGATGCGTTATTTATTACTCTCTCTCTCATTTTTGCCTTTCCTTTTTCCCAGTTACAATCACTCTGTACTGCTTAATGTGTTCCTGTATTTTGTTTTCAATACAGTTTTTGTATTAATATTTAACTTTTACAGGATATTAAACGGAGAGAAGATTCTGTTGCAAAAGGTAAGCACTATGAATCTGCAACCTAGATCATTAGTAATTTGGGTGGCCTTTCTTAAATCATAGTAATTAATTTTTTTTCTTCTTCTTCGTGTATCAGCTGGTGTCCCTGTTGATGATAGAAATTGGCCTCCTTTTTTTCCAATTATTCACCATGATATAGCTAATGAAATACCAATACATGCTCAAAGGCTACAATATATGGCTTTTGCAAGTTGGCTAGGTAAGGCATGTTTATTATGCCAATGTGGTGCTATGTATTTTGCTTTGCTTGTATTTTTATCCATAAATGCATTGAGGATTCCATTATAAAAGAATTATATTCAAGTAGTATGCCTTGTAAATTGGATAAAAAAGGTCGTACCCAGTGCACAAGGCTCCCGCTTTACGCAGGGTCTGGGAGAGGTGAATGCCTTGTAAATTGGATATACATACAACAACAACAACAACAAAGCCTTTTCCCACTAAGTGGGGTCGGATATACATACAAAAAAAAAAATGCTTATGAAACATTTTCTCTAACAATCAAGTACTAGTAATCTATTTCATTGCCGGACTTTAAGGAATGTACATTCTTATATTGATTGAACTGCGTCAGTACCTAGTATTTCTCTTAGAACTGATTACTTAAATATAGATATTTGAATAAGGTACTATGGATGTTTTTAAAGAGGAACATCCTTGTTGGGGTCATCTGGAAATGTAGTTCAATGATCCAAATGTCCGTTTGTTTCGGTCCTTATTTAAATATTGACCTTACGTAACGTTAGCCTTTGTTTCGGTCCTTATTTAAATATTGACCTTACATAACGTTAGCCAAATTGAAATTGGCTAACTTTTTGGTCTCTCTTCAAGGATTTTTCCTTGAAAAAGAAGCTTCCAAATAGGGAACTGTTTGGTCATATAAACTATGCAGACAACCACAAGCGGTCCAATAAAATGAGAACAATGGTAATCAAATGGCTCAATGATTTTTGGTTCGGCTGATTCTTACTTGTTTGCGGGGATGGTCCTTTGAAGAAATGATTCTGATCATTCTGATGAATCCAAGTGGCTATGTCCTCATTTTTTATTTCTAATTAGGGAAATACTCACTTGAAGCTTCTCGGGCTCATGCACAAAAACATACATGTATATCTATAAGTAGATAACTCAAAGGAAATGCTCTTTTGACAGACTGTCAATATGGACAATTGGTCACTTGAGTTATAATTCTAATATGTGATGCTTGATTATGAGTCTGACAGAATATGTGGGTCGACTCCTTGTATCATTATTCTTTTTATCATCACATATATTTCCTTATTAGACTTCAATTAACACTTAAGTAATATTGTCATTGCAGGCATAGTTCTTTGCCTATTTTTTAATGTGATTGCGATTATTGTCTGTTGGATTAGAGGCGGGGGTAAGTTTTCCTCAATGATATTTGGTTATTACTTGATTGTAGGTAAACTTAGCTCCTCTGGCTATCACGCTAATTGGATCTTCTGATGACTTTCATAAACTGCAGGTGTTAAAATATTTTTGCTTGCAACGATCTATGCTCTAATGGGATGCCCTCTTTCATATGTTCTTTGGTACAGGCCTCTCTATCGTGCAATGAGGTAATTGTTTAAAGATGGCTTTGTTTCTAGTTTCCAGGTAAATAAAAGATTTGTAGTTCCTCTTGAAATTACAGAGAAGCCGCAATGTTAGCATAAATTTTTTGCCACTTTAGAGAAAATAGCTTGACTGTAATATCATGGATCTTAGGCTAAGACAAGAAAATACTTTTGAAATGACGTTTTTGGGAACCAAATATCAAGGAGCAAGTATTTGTTGTCATCCTAAAAGTATCCTCATCTGCTAATGGACGAGACCTTTGGCATATGATGGGCACATGTTTAAATTATGCCCTGTTTATATTATGGACGAATCAAGTAATACCCTATGGACTCTAACTGGCACTATAACTCTCTCGCAACTTGTTTCTACCAGAAATTTTAGTGCATCAAAGGCTTATGTAGGAAAATAGTAAGAGAAAGGAATATAATAGAGATTTGGACTCACTTTGGCCTTTGGCATAGCACTAAAGGTGTATTGGAATAACTCCGATAGAAATTAAAAGTTTCCAGCATCACACCAGCCTTCACTGTCATACTGCCTTTGGAAACAGTGCTGCGTAGTCACTAGGGTGGGATTGTTATATGGTGCATAACATGGTGGTTGTGGTTGATCGTGGAAACCAAATTTTCCTGGAAATCAAGAGTTGTGTGGAATTTAATTCCTTTTTGTGTGTGTGTGTGTGTGTGTGTGTGGGTGGGGGGGGGACTGCTGCATTTATGCATCTTTATAGTTTATGATGAAGTTTATGATCTATGGGACCTTGTCCCATTTCATTTGTTGTACAAATAGGTAGAGAATCAGTTGTATGATGTCACTGTTATCTATGTGGATGGGAATGTAATGTGTTGTTTTTATTTGTTGAATTGAACTCGGTAATATCATGCACTGCTGACTGTGTTGAGGTGTATTTTTTCCATCTTGCAGAACAGATAGTGCCCTGAAGTTTGGTTGGTTTTTCATGTTCTATATGGTATGTACTGATACTGTATCTGTTTGACTTATTATGCTTGACTTACCAATCTGATTTTAATCAATTTTCGTGTGGCAGCTCCACATTGGATTTTGTATTGTTGCGGCGATAGCTCCTCCAATTGTCTTTAATGGGAAATCATTGACGTAAGTTCTTACATTCTTTTTTGTTTTTTGTTTCTTGCATTTAATATTATTTACTCGTGGCGATAGCTCCTCCAACTGTCTTAGTAAGCGTTTTGATGCTGTGTAACTGAACCAATATATTTTCCTCCTATTATTTTCGACAAATGTGTCTTTTTTTATTTTTTCCATTTTTCTTCTTATATACAGGGGAATTCTTTCGGCAATTGATGTTTTCTCTGATCATGTGGTGGTAGGGGTAAGTTTTTTACTGTGCTGCATCTATAGACAATGCTGTTAGAATGTTATCGGAAGTGTAATGTTTGTTTTATTTTTCATTCCCATCATCTTAGTGTCACTACTTCATTTTAACTGAAAAAAAGGAAGAAAAAGCGTTGTCTAGACTCTAAACTATGATGTAGGCCACGTCAACCAAAAACTATGCAGTAGGCCAGGAAGAAATACAAAGATGAGCTGGTTTTCTGCCAAAACTCAAGACTCAGACTTGTGTACACTTTTGACATCCAAATTAATGCTGTCTTCTTTCCCTAAGCACTTTTAACAAATGAACCAGTAACCACCTTCACAATGATCTAAAGTGGGAGAAACTCTCTTCACCAAGATTCCATTTTCAAGTTCACAATGCTATGCATTTAATTGAGAATATCAGATTATTTCATAACTTTTTTTAGCTCTGGTTGGCTGGTCAGGTCTTTAATTTGTGCTATGCGTTGAGAATATACTGGAACAAATTTTGGTAAAAGAATATCTGCTCTTTAGATTTGGCCAATAATGCATCCCTTATGCTTCTTACTTGAAAGGTTCTCTTAACACAGAACAATGAAGGATACACTTTATGCCATTAATATATATACCCTTTATGGTTCTTGATCGGAGTTAGTTCCTTAATGGGTGGGCACTGGTCGACCTAGATTTTTTCCGCAGTTGCTGGCTCACTTTTCTCAATTAGATTTTAGGTTTTAATGAGATCTTATGTACCCTCAATATGCAATCTTGTCGGGAAAATGGATCAAAACTAAAATAAAAGTCATGAAGACTTGCTTCCCAGTTCATAGCCATATCACCCAGCTTTACAAATGAGAACAGAACAGGTGATTGGAAAAAGAATAAAGAGGTATTAGTTGGTAAGGAATATCTAGCATCATCATGATCAGATGACCAAGGTAGCTTAGTTGTTGCTAATATTGTTTGGTGCAATCTCATTGATTATTTGGTTATAAGAATACTAATATTATTTTTTGTTGTATCCTGTGCAGATATTCTACTTAACTGGGTTTGCATTGTTTTGCTTGGAGTCTCTTCTAAGCTTATGGGTACTTCAGGTCAGACAGAGGTTCCCTTATTTCCTATGTACATTATAATCTTTAGAAGTATAGAAAATGCTTCTGGTGGCTTACGAAGGCATGCATTTACTTGAGTAATCTCTAGGTATGGATTTTTGGAGTTCTAGATCATCGTGATTGCTCTCAGTCCCAGATCACCGTGACTCCACCAATTTGCTTCAGAAATATTCTGTTTTTGTTATTGGAAAAACAGAATACTTAACTGCATTTTCCCCTAAAACAAGAACCCTTTTACAAAACTACACTTTTTTTTTCGTTTTCCCTCTTATTGATGAAGCTTAATCTTTAGCGTTAATGACAACTAATGTTTGTTTCTTTTTTCTCACCAAATATACCCTTTTTGGTATGTTTACAAAAGCTTGTACGACTGTATCTGGAATATGTTTACTCACATTCATCTCGTCGTCTCTTAAAAGATTTGAATTTCATTACTAGTCTAAATGCCTCTTCTTCTTTTTTTTTTGTCTTTATCCAATTGTCAGCGTAAATATTTCTTCTTTTTTGGTCTCGTAGTCAGATTAAAGTCATCATTAACATGTTATTTATCCTTACTATTTCTCTGATCGTCTTTCCCTCTTTTGTTTGTGCAGAAAGTATACATGTATTTCAGGGGGAACAAGTGAGGTTTGATCCGGGGGATTGCAATCCAATTGGGATTCAGAGTTGCATTGCCTTTTTCGAGTGGTTTTAGTATATTCTTCTGCAGCCTATTATGTTTGCCATTTCGTTTTTATAAATGCATTGCATGAGTCAGTAAGCTACTTTGGATTGGACTCGACAGAGGCTTGCTTATATATGTAGAGCAAGGGTCAAATTCTTAAGTAGAAGTGTACGAGACCGGAAATGCTCATGAGTCCATGACCCCGACGCATTGAAGTGGCTTCGATATTCGCTGGAGCAGTTATCTTTGGATTGGACTCGACAGAGGCTCCCTTAGATGGTACTGGATGTCTTAGTTAAAGGATATCTTTGTGTTTCTCTTGTGAGTTGCATCGACGCGATGGTAACAAAGTGGCGCATGAATTAGCTAAATTTGTTGTTCGAACTCGAGGCTATGGACTATATGGGCTGGGAATTTGATATTTCAGTTGTATTTTGCCATTACTAATGCAATGAAATTCAGATGTTTCCAGTAAAAGTAAATAATGAAAAACACCTCTATTATGGTAATAACAAGTTAAAAGGAAAATACTTGCATTCCCTTTGCATGATGTCTTGTTTTCCATTTTGCGAATAATGTATTTTGACCGGAGAAAACCAGCTATTGGAACCGTTTAAATTTATTATTTTTCATTTGAAGATCATTGCTATAAAAAATTATTTTAATCGGAGATTATTTGGTTATTTAAATGTATAAAACAAATTGACAGTATAAGTATCAACAACAAAGTCTTTTCCTACTAAGTGGGATTGGCTATATGAATCTTAGAATGTCATTGCGATCGGTTTTGTGTCACTTCTTTCGTTAGATCCAAGTACTTTAAGTCTTTTTTTAGAGTTAAAGTCTTCTTAGGTCTTCATCTACCCCTTCAGCCCTGAACCTTTGTCCTATAATCACATCTTCTAACTGGATCGTCAGTAGGCCTTCATTTTACATGTCCAAACTACCGTAACCGATTTTCTCTGATCTTCCTTCAATTTTGGCTCCTACTTTACCTCGGATATCCTCATTCCTAATTTTATCCTTTCTCGTGTACTCACACATCCAACAAAGCATTCTCATCTTCGCTACACCCATTTTATGTACATGTTGATGCTTCATTGCCTACCATTCTGTGCCATAAAGCATTGCCGACCTTATTGCCGTCCTATAAAATTTTCCCTTGAGCTTCAGTAGAATACGACAGTCACACAACACGCCGAATGCACCCTTGCACTTCATCCATCCAGCTTGTATTCTATGGTTGAGATCTTCATCCAACTCTATTCTTTTGCAAGATAGATCCTAGGTAGCGAAAACGGTAGCTCTTTGACACTTCCTGATCTACAATCCTCACCCCTAACTCATTTGAGCCTCCGTTTGCACTGAACTTGCACTCCATATACTCTGTCTATGATCGACTTAGGCGAAGACCTTTAGATTCCAACACTTTTCTCCAAAGGTTAAGCTTCGCATTTACTTCTTCCTGAGTTTCATCTATCAACACTATATCGTCTGCGAAAAGCATACACCAAGAAATATCATCTTGAATATGTCCCGTTAACTCATCCATTACCAATGCAAAAAGGTAAAGACTTAAGGATGAGCCTTGATGTAACCCTATGGTTTGGGGAAGCTTTCAGTTTGTCCTTCGTGAGTTCTTACGGCAATCATTGGTCCATCATACACATCCTTTATAGTTTGGATATATGTTACTTGTACTCCTTTCTTCATTAAAATCCTCCAAAGAATGTCTCTTAAGACCTTATCATATGTCTTTTCCAAATCTAAAAAGACCATGTGCAAATCCTTTTTCATATCTTTATATATTTCCATTGATCTTCGTAAGAGATAGAGTTCCTCCATGGTTGAGCGCCCTAGTATGAATCCAAATTGGTTGTCTGAGACCTGTGTTTCTTGCCTCAGTTTATGCTCAATTACTCTTTCCCAAAGCTTCATTGTATGACTCATTAACTTTATACCCCTATAGTTCATGTAATTTTGTACGTCGCCCTTATTCTTGTAGATAGGCACCAAAGTGCTCTTTCGCCACTCATTTGGCATCTTCTTCGTTTTCAAAATCCTATTGAAAAGGTTTGTGAGCCATTCTATACCCGTCTCTCCCAAGACTTTCCACACTTCGATCGGTATATCATCTGGGCCCACTGCTTTTCTATGCTTCATCTTTTTCAAAGTTACAACCACTTCTTCCTTCCTGATTCGGCGGTAAAATGAGTAGTTTATACACTCTTCTGAGTTCCTCAACTTCCCTAAAAAAGTACTCCTTTCATGGCCTTCATTGAAAAGATTATGAAAATAAACTCTCCATCTGTCTTTGACGACGTTCTTTGTAACAAGAACCTTTCCATTCTCATCTTTGATGCACCTCACTTGGTTTAGGTCCCTTGTCTTATCTTCCCTTGCTCTAGCTAGTTTATAGATATCAAACTCTCCCTTTTTGGTATCTAGTCGCTTATGGCTGCTAGCTTAGCATCTCTCACAGCTTTCTTTGCCTCCTTCTTTGCTATTCTATATCTTTCACCGTTTTCATCGGTCCTATCCTTATATAACGTTTTACAAGATTCGTTTTTAGCCTTAACCTTTGTCTGTACCTCCTCCTTCCACCACCTTTTTAGCCTTAACCTTTGTCTATAGCTCATCCTTCCACCACCAAGATTCGTTTTAGTGTGGAGCAAAGCCCTTGGACTCTCCTCGTACCCCTTTTGCTACTTTTCGGATACAACTAGTCATGAAATACCACATTTGGCTAGCTTCCACCTCGCTATCCCAAACGAATTGGGTGATTACTTTCTCTTTAAAAGTGGCTTGTTTTTTCTCCCTTTAGATTTCACCACCTAGTCCTTAGGCACTTCAAGATCTTGTTCTTTGTCACCAACAAGCGATGTTGATTAGTCAAGCCCTCTCATGGTATAAGTACTAAATATAAGTACCAAGTAATATATTTGTAATGAACCGTTCATTTAATTAATATGTTTGGATGATTAAACAACTTTCAATTCGAATAATTTTTTGTAAAATTAATCTTTAAATGAAGATTAATATACTAAATGGTGCTGATCGGTAATTTTATTCGGTCAAGATGCTATTCGTAAGTGTAAATGGAGAATGTGTGCATCCCCAGCTATGAAAGTATTATCCTAAAAAATATAACTTGGCATCCAGGTGTAAATTTTGAAAGTCCCGGGAAAAGTTTCTTACTTGTATCATGTGGTGGGCACAAGTTTGATTGGGTGGGGGGTTGAAATCTCATCCTCCTTTGATTTAAAACGTTCGCTTCGGGTCCGCACAATTTCAATGGTTTCCCTTTCCCTGTTGCATCCAGATTGCAGACTCTCTCACTCCCTCACTCCCTCCCCACTTCTCCTTCCATGTCGACCTTTTCGGCCAAACCCACTAACGTGATCACCTCCCTTCACAACCACCACAAATCAATATTCTCTTTTCCAACTTGCCTGCCTTCCCTTTCAAAACTTCAGAAAGCTTCACCTGTTGTTGCTTTCAATGGCGCCAGGTTACAGCACAAGCAGCGGCGGACTAATCCCCAAACCACACTTCCTACACTACCCACTTCCACCTTCTTGCAAATGGGTTCTCAGGAAACCTCCTCTGAGACACCGTTTTTGGTGAAATCAACTGGCTCGGAGAGTGCTTCCACTTCCTCTGCCTCTCAAACTGTGAGTAAATCAACGTTTCTGTGTTTAATCTCCGATGGGATAGTCTCTTTCGTGTTGTTTCAATGGAATTTTGATAAAAGTTGTTGACTTTGATTTGATGTGCTACTATTGCAATTTGCAATTTACAGGTTGTTGGGGTTCTGCATCTGGTTGTTTCACTTGGTATTATTCTTGCAATGGACAAGTTTTTGAAGAAGGCATTTGTGGCAGCTTCCATTAGGTTCCCAAGTGCGCTTTTCGGGATGTTTTGTATATTCTCCGTTCTTGTTATTCTTGATTCCACTGTCCCTGCTGTGGCAACAAGCTTGATGAACTTCTTTGAGCCGGCGCTTTTGTTCATCCAGAGATGGCTCCCATTGTTCTATGTTCCTTCTTTGGTTGTTTTGCCCCTTTCTGTAAAGAGTATTCCTGCGGCTTCGGGTATCAAGATTTGCTTCATTATAGGTATGCAAGTTTTCGCTACTCTTTCTAATATAGCTTTTCTCTGATGAAGCTGCACATTAATTACTTGTATTTTCGGTTGGTCATTGTTGGTTTCTGTTGTCAATGACTCAATGTCAGTGAATCAGTTGTAAGATCAATATATGCGGAATAAGTAAATCACAATACCAAATAATTAACCACTAACCTTTGACGCCATTGCTGCAATGAACTAAGGATTCTTCTACTCTCAACACAGACCAAATGCACTGCTACAATCAATGGGGCTTGATATCTTTTGTGCGTAATTAGTGTGAGAGCAGGGGACCCTATTATATATCCTAGGTGGTGGTGTTTGATAAGGATACTTCCCATCATGTAATCCTTATCAAACTGATAAACCTTATCACCACGAAACCATACTATTCATATCAGGATAGATATATCTACTCATATCAGAATTACTTTAGCTATATATCAGTCCACATACATTCCTTGATAGCTTACAAGTATAGTCAATCCTAATCTCTTATGATCTCAATCCCTTAAGCACGTGTTAAACAAGTGAGCAGCTCTAACAAAGCTTACATCAGTTACTTGTTACTCCAATTTCTAGAACTGTGATGAGTTTAGCAGCGATCATAAATAGGTCATTTGTTTCTAGATCACCCATACCGTCATCCTAAAGTAAAAAGCGAAAAAGCATAGAAAAATATCTGGCTAACAAGTTCTCGATGAAACAACAAAGATAAGACCGGGTGGTTCTTGATGAAATCAATGGATGAGTGGTTTGATTGAATAGATTTGAGGAAGAAAGCTTTTGCACGTATTGCATAAGATTTCTTTTACCTAATCTTCCATCAATGATGAGACTTCATGTTACCTTCTCGATTGAGCACAAAATACTCAAAATCTGAAGTTGCACAGTCAACAAACTATCTTTCTTTGACACTAACTTCTTTGCTGTTGCATCTCGCCATCTCTCTTCTGGTGTCTACATGCTTTGTTTTTCCCTAAACATGCTAGTAATTAATGATTTTCTGCAGTTGGAGGCTGGCTGGTCACCCTTGCTGTGGCAGGATATACGGCAATAGCTGTAAGAAGAATGGTAAAGACACAAATGACAGATGCTGAGCCTATGGGAAAACCCTCTCCTTTTTCCAATGTTGAAGTGTGGTCTTGGAGTGGGATCTTCCTGACATCATTTGTTGGGGCATTATTATCCCCAACAGCTCTGGGGACGAGTGCTCGAACATGCCTCCCATTCCTACTTTCATCAACTGTGTTGGGCTACGTTGTTGGTTCTGGGTAAAATATCTTTTTCCTCAGTTTACAGCATGAACACTTTTATGAAAAGTACATATATATATAAATCAAATATTGGTTTTGATTTTAATACAAGTTACTGAAATTTGATATTTTCTCCTCCTTAAGGTCTCATGCCTCTGTTGACTTCTAATTTTCAGATTTCCGTCAGACGTGAAGAAGGTTTTCCACCCCATCATCTGCTGTGCGCTGTCTGCAGATTTGGCTGCATTCGCTTTTGGATACTTCTCCAAGTCTGGGCTTGACCCTGTTCTTGGTATGCATCTGAAACAACATTCTTGGTTTTGGCTGAACATTGTGATTAAATGTAACAAATTAGAAAGCGGAACTTTAACAACTTGCACAAAATACTTGCCAGATTCCAAATTAGCTGTTCGGGTCTCTTGGTTAATCTTGATTTTTCCTATTTTATTTGTTCCTTCTTTTTGGATGTGGTATTTTCACCAGTGTGCTAATTCCTGGTTTTTGTTTCTTCCATGCAATTTTATATAACTACAGAAAGGAATACCCGATGTACTATTAAGAGGATTAAATGGACTTAATGTTATTAGATGAATATGAAGAATTACATAACATGGGTCTGGAGGGAAACATTTTATGCTTTGTATCGCGTCACAAGTTTTTTGAGGTTTCAATGATTTATAGAACATCTTTGATGTCATCGGACGAAAAAATGCTAATCTATTAGCATTAGACTTGTGGGAAACATGATGGTTCATGATACCCCGAGTGCTTTAAGTATGAAGTTCGTCATTCTTCTTGATATTCACAGGATCTTACCTTACAAAGGTTTCATCTAATCCTGGAGCTGGTGATGTTCTGATGGGATTCTTGGGGTCTGTTATCCTCTCATTTGCCTTCTCAATGTTCAAACAGAGGAAGGTAAATAACATTTCAAGAGACCGAGTTTCCCATATTCATTAGTTATACTTGTTTATTTTGGTTCTTTGTTGTGTAGAAAAACATAGATTTTTTGGGGTTTTCCTGCAGCAGTACTCTTATAATTTTAACCTGATTCAAATTTGTGAATTCGACCAATTGCCGTCCTAACTTCCCACCAATGTCTAATTAATATGAAACCATATTTGAACATTATTTCTGCTCCCTACATATTTTCAGCTTGTCAAGAGGCACGCAGCTGAGATTTTCACATCTGTCATCCTGTCAACCATATTCTCATTGTATTCAACCGCTCTTGTTGGACGTCTTGTTGGGTTGGAACCTGGTTTGACTGTCTCAATTCTACCACGATGTATAACTGTGGCATTAGCTCTCAGCATTGTGTCGTTGTTTGAAGGTATTAGTTCATACTTTTGTAGTTGTAAACATGAAAACTCTGACCTCATAAACGTGTTCTAAGTTTGACATGAATTTCTAAAATGTTACTAACGAAAGTCGAGGCTATTCCTGTTTTATTATCTCAACTTTTTCTCTCTCATTTTGATAAATGATACAACTTTATAATGCTTACAAAATAAAATTGCATATGCTACACATTTGAAACTTGTATCCTTGAAACTGTAGGTACCAATCCATCTCTCACAGCGGCCGTGGTTGTAGTAACTGGTCTGGTAGGAGCTAATTTTGTGCAAGCAACGCTTGATAAACTACAATTTCGTGATCCTATTGCTCGAGGAATAGCTACTGCATCTAGGTATGTATCTCCCCCGAACCCTGATCCTCATATGAAACGATCAAACTATAACTGTGAAAGTATAAACAAGTGGACCAAACTGTAAACAATTAGAAAGAATTGTTTAAACCATCTGAATATGGTAGGACAGTTCGTTGAGACTTCTAGGTATATTGAATATTGAAGATTTTTACCTCCGGGCGAAAAGACATAAGTGTTATTAACAAAGAACTCATCAGAGTGAGTTTAAGAAATCGTAGTTCGATAAACTGTCTGTTATGCACTTACGGTGTTTTATTGTTTTGTTGCTGTAGTGCTCATGGATTGGGAACAGCAGCATTGTCAGCCAAGGAACCGGAGGCTCTCCCATTTTGCGCCATTGCTTACGCTCTGAATGGTATATTTGGCTCTCTGCTATGTTCAATTCCAGCAGTCAGGCAAAGTTTGCTTGCCGTAGTTGGATGACACTATCGGCTCCTTTGTTTGTTCTCACAATTAGCTACTGCTTCGAAATCATTGTTTTTATTAACAGTATATAGATATACAAGACATTTTTCCATTAGTACAGGAATTCAAGTTGGAAAACTGTACTACAAAGAACGTCAATTGTAAACCTGAACAAACACTCGTATTCGGTCATCTTATTGGATTTATGAACACTATCAGTTACTGCTGCACCAGAAAACTTAGTTGGTAGGAAGCCAGCCTGAATAGTTCGTTATAACTGATTGAGCAAACCTTAACGCCCTTGCGAACGTGTAAGCTGCACCTAAAAGAGAAGAACTTGATGTCACGAGGAATTGAAGAAGTTAACTTAAACGAGTTTAGGAGGTTTTAAACAGAGGACCAAGTGAAGAACAAGGTTTTTTTATGCCATTTTAATTAAGTTACAATTGCTCCCTAAAACTTTTCTGTGATAAGCAAGCCTGATTACCATGAGATGCTAGTTAGGGCCCGGTGTCGTCGCTACAATACCCCCTGGCTTCAAGTGCACGGGGGACGGGGAGATTAATGGGTAAGTAAAAGCCATAAAGGGAAAATATCTGTTTCTTTAAATCTCACTCATTCATTTCACATTGTAGTGAATACAATGTGATATTGTAAATTTTTCCATTAGTTTAATAAGATTAGAAGCTATGAGAAAGAACCACCTTTAATCGTGCAGGCAATGTCACCACACAGAGCCCCGATTTTATGGGGCCCCAATTATTGACAGTGAAGATGAACCAAAGATAGGTAAAATTGAACATGAAGGATTGTCAAATCAGGTTACGTGTATGCCAATATATTGAACATCATGCTAAGCTCATTCCCTAGTCCCTATGAAAGAAGAAGCAAATACGTAATAAAGGAAAGAAATGGGCCCATCTTATCCATGGGGTTGGTTTGGTTATATAGAATTGAGATCCTCTTTGAATTTGTCATAAGCTAACGGACTCGAAGATTCGGATCACTTATTTAAAATCGTGCAATCCTTATTAGTATATTTCACTGACCCATCTCACACAAACCAAAAGTCCAAATCTCTCTCTCTCTCTTTCTTCAATGGTCCAGATATCCAGATCCTTAGGCTTCGGATACAGAAATCCAGAGAGGATCACAAGGTTATATGAGAGTGATGCAACCAAGTATTGGGAAACTGAAATACTGAATAGATAAGATATATAGGTGAACCTCATAACTCAAATTTTCCATATATTTTGTTTAATTTTAATCTGTATAATACAAGTATTCTGCCATAGAATTACAACGTAAAGAAAGAGAAGAGAGTGGAAAATAGGCATGCATGCACTCTCTTACTTGAATTAAGTAGGTACAATCAATAGAGATAAGGCATAACAATGTAATTAGGCAAAGAGATTAATTTGATGAAATATTTCTAAGCTTTGGTTGCTTCTACCGGAGTTTTGGCCCTGGCTGCAATGAGCTGCTCGTAGAGGTCCCGGATCTTCAATCCGACGATGGTTTGGAAGAGGCCGGTTCCGTTGTTGCTGCCGGGGAAATCAGAGTGCTTCAACATTTGTTGGGTGACTTCTCCATAGAACTTGGTGGAGATGTTGCTTAGATGACTCTCTACATAGATCAGCTCATCTAATCTGTCAAATTGCCCATCCATCTCCAACAATGACACCTATTATTTACATATGACACCACCATAACCAAAAACAAAATGGTTAGTTAAAAACGCTTTTGTGTAGCACCGTCGTAGGATGCATACTGACGCGTCATTTGGTGAACAAATTTAGCGACGAGTGTTAAATGTGTACCTCGTTGCCGAAATAAGTGTCAGGGCCATAGTTGAATTTGATTCCAGGGTAAGAGCAGGTGAGCTTCCTTCCACAGGGAATCCATGAGATGGTGGAACCCTCATCAAACAAGTAGACTGGGTTGAAATATTTCACACCTTCCTTCATAATCAACCTCACTCTCAACACCTTCCCCTCATTGTCACCTGGAATCAATTGGGTTGGCAACACTTCTATCACTGCATCTGCGTACTGCTTTTGTGGATCTGCATGTAAATCACAATTAACAAAAGATTATTAATAAAGAGCGCAAAACGACAAACTGGGAGTGCGAAAATCATTCCTCGCGTATTTGCTAAACTCCCTCTCCGCTCATGCGATCCGCTGATGCCAATCCTATGACTTATTGTTTGAAACACGCCTTACTGTTTGGGTTGAGAGTAAACAATCCTACTTAGAAGGTTAACGAATAAGATAAGTGTGTTACTTACCAATATAAGCATCGAAATCAGGCTTTCGGGCTTCAATACTGGCTTTGATGCTCTCGAGACTGTGTCCACGCTCCGCCATGTCCCTCTAAACAATCCAAGTTTTAGCTTAATTAACACGGTGAATTTAACAAATTAGGTTTAATTACCCGAGGGTTAATTTAATTACCTGAATTTTCCATGCAAACTTAACCTCATTGCTGATGTCCAAGTAGATGCTGAAGTCCAACAGATCCCTAACTCGCTGATCATACCTACACATACATATATTAATTGATTAATATATATTTATTTTATATATATATATATATATATATATATATTTTTTTTTTTTTTTTTTTTTTTTTTTTGAGAAAGTGGTTAATATATTTCTGAATGCATAATTAACTAACAGTTAGGTACGTTACGAAGTGTATTTCTCTATTCAAGTTTGACTTCTTCCCTCCAACAAAGCTTGTAATAAGTTGGTTGTGCATGTTGGTGGAATTAATTAATTTATCATTGAGTAATTAAAGTACCAGTAAAATAATCACTTAGTACTACGGTCTATCTTAAGTTCAAACATCAATAATGGTAAATCTAAAATCAATTCATTCCTCATCTTTTTGTATAAATATATCGTTATAAAAAAATTACTTCTAAAATAAAAAGGAAGGCCGCTTGGAACTTAATAAAACCCACAATTACATGGATTTCAAACAAAAACATGACATTGACATACATATCCTTGATTGGCCAACCACATATGATACCAGCGCCCGCCACAGGCACTTTGTATAGTCTTTTGATTGACGCAAGTGGATATATAGTATTATTTTTCTTTGCTTAATTAAATACATATATTTGTGAAAGATATGTAAAGTAGGGATAATGGTTGTATACTTGTATATGCCAACTTTTACCAGCCTTGATTTCTTTTTCTCTTTTCGATATACTGATGTTGACTTGGAAATATATTTTAAGAAAGGAGATAGAATATTTGAAGTTAATGGAAGATTTGACGCAAAACAAAGAACAATGATAATTTTAAAGTTTATACAGTCGACTTTACTTAGTGTAAAAAGGTTTGGTTATTATTGTTGTTTTCTTTCTACTGATGTTAGTTGGATTATTTAGGTCAGTGAGTAAATTTGAAATTGTGAGTTACTCCAACTTTTATTTATATATTTATTTGAAAAGAAGAGTTCCTTAAATTCCCTCCCGTCTACTTGTATATACATGGGAAAATATTTTCTTGTCAAATATTGACTTGATACTAAAGAAAATATCGACTTTCTACTATTGGTCATGATAATGTTTGTAAAAATTATGTGGTCCAAAAAAAATAATAATAATAGCGCTTTTACGAAATCAGTTTAGATGAATTTTAATGTAAAAATATCCGCTTATGTTAAAGAAGTTGAAGTAAATTACAAGGAAGTTTCTAATTAAGAACAACGAAGTTTCTGATTAAGAACAAGCCATGATTTCATGAATGTGTACTGATGAAAAATGATAAAGTAGTAATTAATTAGTTAATGAAAGTGATTAAGATGAGCAATTAAGTAGGCATGCACTTACATTGGATGTAAACCTTCAATGACAAGAATCTTGGGGGGCTTGATGAGCTCGGGAGGATCCAAGAGACCAGAAACATGGTTGTAAATAGGCTTCTGAACAGCCTTTCCTTCCTTGATGGCCTTCACCTGCTCATACATAAGATCGAAGTCGTTAGCTCTTGGGTCGAGCGCGGTCACTCCTTTCTCCTTCCTCCCTGTCCTGTCCAGGGAATGGTAATCATCCAAGCATATCACCGTCGTGGTGTCGCTGATGAGCGTGTTGGAGTCAGGGTTTCCTCCTTTAGGTGGCTCCGCTCCTCCTCCAAACACGCTAGTCAGCCTCCTCATGAATGTGCTTTTCCCACACCCTGAGTCCGCTGCTAAACCGATAACAATCGTCTCTTGCTCGCATCTTATCACACTCACTCCAACTGATCTCCGGCTGCTGCTGCTTCTCTGCTTGTAGAACACCGCCACCTGCTGCTGCTTTTGGCCGCTCAATCCCAACGAGGAGGAAAACGAACACGTCGGGTTCAGCTGGCCACTTGTGTGCACCGCACAAATCGCCATTTTCCCACTACTACTACTCTCTCTCTCTAGCTCTCTGTGTTCTTGGTTACTTGGTTTAATTTGGGAAAGAAAGAATAAAGAGTTTGGAGCAGAAATAAGAGGCTGGAAGAGGTGATGGCAGGCGGTTTTGTGGGATGGAAAAGAAAATGCTGGCTGATACTGCTGCTGCTGACGTGTCTTGTTGTTTTTTCTGGGGTTTCTGGGACTACCCCTGGTTTTTGACAAATTTTTCTAAGTGTTAGGAGGTAATGCTTATTTCGAAGGTTTTAGGATGGACTTCAATGGGCTTAAGTCGATGGGCGACGTAGTCATTTCACACTTTGCTTTTTCCACTAGATAGTAAAATAATTAAGTGGAAACATACTTTTGTTTTTTATATTATATTTGCGGAGAAAAGATGGGATTTTTATTTTTTAGTTTTATATATTTTAATATATTTTATATTTCGATGAGGTGATGGGATGTACGCGATAAACGCAGGCATGGAGGGAGAGGAAGAAGAAGAAGCGTGGTGGTTATTTGTTGCGGTTTGGATATTTCATGTGCCACGTGGCAGTGGAGTGGTGGCTGGTTGAAGATTAGGGGTGAAGGGTGAGGAATGGAAAGAGATATAGAGAATTAGAGATAGAGTATGCGCCATCCACTTTTTGACTTGTGCTACTCTCTCTGCTAGCTTGTCCGTTTGTAGGGATTTCTACGGTGAGATACTTCAGTAGATTTTTATTTTAAAAAGTAAATATTAAGATTTAACAGTTAAAATATTTAAAATATTTTGTATTTTAGATAATTTAACCCTTAATAACATTTTTTTGCCGGATAAAACTTAAAACTCGTTTCAAATAGTTAGTGTTGAACATTGAACAACAATCAACGAGATCAAAATATCCAATAATTATCTTCTATACATTATATAAAAGCGTTTGTCTTTTCAGGATCCCTGCTTTTAACGGATTAACAAGTACATATAAGTGATAGTAAACAAACACGTTAGTGTACAAGTTGCTAGCGGGTTTATTCATTTCAATCGGAACCCATTAAGGCTCGACTTTAACACTTCATCGCATTGTACCGTGTTAACTAGTCATCTACGATAACCTCTTATAATAAATCAAAGACACTTAAGCTTTGCTTATAGTTAATTGGCCTCTGAACAGAAGAGAAGCAGGTGGTCGTCAGCCAAAAACAGAGGTGAAATTCTGGAACCAGACTATTTCTCGACTCCACAGATCATATAGTGCCGTTCTATACTTCTCTTAATTAATTAGCACAAAAGCTATTCTATCAGAAAGCAAGCTCCCCATTTAAGCAGACTAATCGGAAGCTCTCACGCAGTGCATGTATATAATACATGCAGTCATCTTTAATAAATGCAGAAGCTCTCTCCGTACACACAAGTAATATATTAAGATTCAAAAAAAAAAAATTAAGGTACATTCAGCAAGTGCCAACCGAAATGAAGAGAATAAAGGTACACTATCCCTAACTCCTAACTCCTAAGTTTGGCTGGTAAATAAATCAAGGGTTGCAAGAGGTGCAGGGTGCTGTTTGGTTGCCCCGTTCAAGTAGAGAAAACAACAAGACGAGTTTGGAGTTTGTTTTGAACCAGTGAAGTCCTATTTCATCACCCTCTTTCAACTGTCTCCTCTTGACGAATGCAGGGTGCCAAACCAAAACGTAACTGTTGTTGCTCTGCTTGAAAATGTACCGATGATGGGTTGTGTGCGTATCGCCGTCATGAAACGTAATTTGTGCTCCCTGTCTGTTCTCAAGGGCTTTGGTAAACTCGTCGTTCACGTGAGGGAGGATATATTTGTTCATCAAGCTTGCTGGCATGTAGAAGTGTATGAGATCTCTAGCCGTCAGTTTCTTCTTGATTCCCCAAGAATCCTTAAAATTTAGATTGGCAATAACAAGTTCATCTCTTTTCTTCCACTTCATCTGCTCCTCCTTTGTTGCAGTATTTTTATTATTGTTCGTCATTTTATTATCATGGACGCGATCGCGAAGGCAATCACCAGTGGGAAAGGGTGAAAGCGTCGACACTAGTTTTTGACGTTTTGATGAAGTATTAGTCGTCTGATCACGATGATGAGGGCTAGTACTAGTAGGAGAGGGTTGGTCGGGTACTTGGTTCGCTTTTCGCTTCGTGTTGTTATCATTATTTGTACTAAAACTTGTAGGCCAAGTCGGATCCCACAAAGCTAACACTGTCGAAACTTCGTCATGTGATGATCGTCGTGGTTGTGGATGTGGATGACCAAGGGTTAGTCTTGTTGACAGCGTCGTCCCTTCCATTATTCTAATTCGAATCTTCAAACTATATAAACTTGAAACTTGAATGCCAACGTGAGAGCGAGAACGAAAGAGTTAGAAGAACAGAGAGAACTAATTGATGTGTGTATGTGTATTTATAATATGTAGCTGATGTTGGGAGTACGAATTTCATATTAGGAAACAGAGATTTTGCATATGCTTATAAGTAAGTTAGGTTACTTTTTATATTTCAAATGGTGAATCTCAACTTTATTCTTGGTATCACTGTCGACATTCAAGTTCTGAACAACTGAGGATTCTTGGTTTCCTTTTTTAGCCCCTTCAAATTAGGATTCTTGGTTTCCTGTCTGGCTGCTTACCGTTTTTAAGTCTTAAGTTTCCTCATCCTTGTAGGCTAAGGGTTGTTTAATTTGGCATACTTCTATAGATACCTCCTTATGGAGAAGAATAAAGTAGGATGTCTGAGGGAGGGGAAGAAGATGTCGGTGGCATCACCTTCGATAACATACTCCATCGATGGAGGTTTGCCAAATTCATGGCGCTCGTTACATTGACAAAAGATTGAGAAGTAATTATTAATGATTTACTTAAGAATGGTAGGCCTGCGCTTGAACAAATAATTGGAGGAGACTCCTGAAGCAGTACTTGTTGAAGAAGCAAGTAATAAATAAGAAGATGCTCCTGCAAAGAAGAGAGGTCCTAATAAGTCTGCTAAAAAGATGTTTGAAGTACCGGAGACTATAGCAACCAAGGTTCTAGCAGCACCAGATCCCTCAGGAGTGCGGGGGACAAGCGCAAGCATGATGCTTTGGAACAGTTGAACAGTTGGCGTGCTACTTTTGAGGAATTCGTTCGCTGTCTAAGGCACAAGGCTTGCGTTGAGAAAGTGAGAGCACGGCGACTGGTTGATGATGAAGCTGCTGTACTTGCCTTAAGAGAAATGCTCAAGTCAACTAGAACTGCAGAGAAGAAAGTACAAACAGAAAATTCAGTTCCATTAGCTATTAATACCATCTCTGAAGAGGCGATAAACAGCGAAGCTGGTCGTAGTTTGATACGGGATCGTGTCAAAGCTGCCCTCAGCAGCTGAGGCTCAGCTGCTTGTGCGAAGGAGAAAGAGATGTGGACGATGAGGATGATGAGTCGTATAGTATGTGTCAGCTGGAAGAAAATTCTTGAGCAAGCTCAGAAGAATGAGGCCAAATCGACTGTTTTGAAAAGATACAGGAGACATGCTTATAAAAAATTTAGGTTACTTCCGTCGACTTGAAGTAGTCGACGGAAACTCCGGCGATTCTCTATGAGTACGTGCTTATGGACAGATTAGTTTTCTTGGCGTGGAAGGTTGATAAGCCCATTGTTTGGAAACATGTTTTGGAAGAGATGTTACACGCCGTATTGCTGACCCCCGAAGGAATCAAAGAAAAACGGGCATGCAATTCGATAGACGCTAGTCAGTCTACGAAAAGGATACCATATACATACTAAAATGTGAGCATTCACTAACCAATTGGCAATAGGAATGAGAAGCTCGTGATTATTAAATTATTAGGCAAAGCTTCCCTTCTCCGATATGAATTTATCGTCTTAACATGCCTCCTCACGTACTGCAGTAGCTTCCCAAAAAGAGAGAACATTCCAACAACAAAACAAAAATAACTAGAAAAGGAAAGATGGCATGAAGTTAAGAGGAAATGTATGATAAGGGAGAGGTTCTAAACCCAGAACACAGCCACTTGGGCAATCCACCACTTGCGGTGAAACATGGAATTAATTAGTCCAAACTCCCCAGGAGGGTGGCATTCGCCCTTTCCCATTGGACATCAAGCACTGTATAAACAAACGTGTTTTAATTTTTAAACATAATTAAGGGCCTTAAACAGACCTCTACTCAGGTATTTATCCTAGTTCATGCCTTAATAGTATCGGAATCGGTTTGCGGTTAGACAAATTGTCACCAATCCATGCATCATTAGGAATTATCAAGGTAAATCAATTCGAGCTAGTTATATTTCATTCGGGGAGAACCGCATCCCGTTGCAAGCGTCCTGTCCTGATTTAAACTTGGGACTGCTGCTCTGAAATTTTCTCAGATTTTCAGCCAAAAATCACCCTAAGTAAGTTTTCTCAACCCAATCACGCTAGAAAAATAATGAAACTACAACTCCAATTACAACGCACATGAACTCAACCCGACAGCAGAAAGTAACTAGAAAGAAAAAGCTAACATAACCTGGTTAGAAGTTCTAGTAAGCATACTTGCTGCAAGTTACTGTTCAATGATCTTCGTTGTGGTAGGCATAGTGTGGCGGGGAGGTTGAATGGTACACATATCTGGGTGGGGAGTTTGAATTGTAGACGTATTGAGGTGGAGATGACTGATAATAGGAATACTGGGGAGGGGATTCGGTATGATGGACATAATGGGGCGGAGAGTGGGAACTGAGTTTGCTTGTTATGGGTGTGGCAATTCGAGTTTGCTGTTTGTCCACTCTAACTTCAACCAACTCCTGCTCCTCCTCAAATGGTGGCTCCTCCTCAAATGATCGGAAAATAGGGTGCAAGTACGCATCAGCCAAGTACGATTTCATATTTAGGTCAGGTTCTGCAGTCCGTTCCATTGTGTCTTTAGCCATTGCTTCCTGAGCAAGTCACAGAGAAAATAATTGCCATCAGAAATTAGAACAAAAAATTACATGCTCCTGTGAAAGCATATATAAAAGTCAAATGCACCTCAATAAATTAATTAGAAGTTCCGAGCTTACATCAAGCGGGTACTTTCTAAATGCAGGTTCAAAACGATACTTGCAGAACTTGTGGAATGATAATGTTAATATTGGCAGAACAACAAGTAATGGAGTAGAATTAGCAGCCTTTTTTGTGCTTAGCAAACCCATCAGAAGTAGTTGAGATATCAGTAAGCTTGCTACTATGCGGCTATGAACTTGTGGCCAAAATGCGGCAGCACTTTCATATCGTTGATTGTACACGTTGATTATCTGCAACGAGAAATAGAGAACAAATTACATGGATAAACAATGAAACGTGATGCACAAACTAGCCTATCAAAACTAAAAAGATGAATGAACTGACCTGATGACGGTAGACTAAGTATGCAAAGGCAAAGAAAACTAGTATGAAAGGCAGCAGGATCGGGGTGATCACAGCATACACGATACCAAGAAGGAAGTAAAGTTGAAGACTTGGGAGGGTTTCTGGAAAATCCACACTCCCAGGGTCCGTTGCCTTTATTCTGTCTCTCTCGGTTTTTACCAAAAACATGTTCTTGAGATGAAATATAACCAGTCGTTTCAAACGGAGGATTTCGCCAGCAATTCCAGCCCACCCATCAACCATTATATATGTAATAAAGAAAGTAGCCTTCGTTGGTATAGACACTCCAATGGTTCTTGGAATCCTATAAACAAGGTTCATTAAAGAACAGTCATATCAAACAGATGAAAAGATAGGTATTAATAAAGTTGTACATCGATAAAAGCACCCGAGATGAGTTTCTGGTAAAATAATATCACTTAATATCTTTTTACTAATATTAATGATTTGAATTGATCTCTATGTCATGATTTGAATTTGTTTGATACAAGTCATGGACTTTCGAATAAGATACAGTACTATAACTTTAAGTTACCAAGTCAAACTGAATCCAGATCAAATTCTAATCCTTTGTATCAACCCTATAAAGTGTAATCACTCAATCCACAACACCCCTCCTCCCCCGCCCCCCCAACCCAGAGACAGAGTCAATCTCTCAAATAAGCGTCTAATCCTAATTTCTTAAGTATTATACTAGCATCAAACAGTATGCCACTGCCCCACACCCGCATACCCTTACCAACCCACCCACGCATGCACAGTTAGTCTCCAAATTGGGCGTCCGGTTTAAGAAAAAGTGGACGCCCATCCTAGCAGCAGAACAATTAAACTGATTGATTTTCTGGTCTAACAAAAATAAAGGACATTCAAGCCATTTCTTCTCACTCTTATAGATTTGAAGCCTTAACGTGCATCAACCATCACTAGCACACCAGCCAACCACAAACACCAATGGAGTATAATTAACAAGCCCCTTATCTCATACCAAACTATCTCCACTGGCTCAGTTCCACATGCAAAACCCACAGAACTCAATCAAAGTGCGCTCTGCATCTGCTTTTTTAGAGCCATTAAGGAGCTCTGCTTATACACAAGTATACATTTGCAAGTAAAGTGAATCTATAATGTATACAGCTACCTCTATAGCCTATATTTCTAGGACAAAACTATTACTGGAGAGACTATATAATTCTTTAACCGCCCTTTCCTGAGTTCAGTGTCCTAAACAATCCATCAATTCCTCTCCTTCCACAAAGTCCACAATACTGCGTGTGGGGTAGATTTCCATACCAATATCACAATTAATAAAACTAGCAAGTTAACAAAAAATCTTCCTGTACAAACTTAGAAATGAGAAAATTTCCAGGGATAGAATATTACTCTGTAGGTGATTGGTGAAGGAAAGAATGCAGTTGCTGAAACGCCGTTCCAGTCACTATGCTTCCCAAAAATACGTTGACTAACATAAAGTAATAGTATTTTGCTGAGGTCTTCCGTTCTAGCGTTGATAATGCTATATGCCCCTCAATTTTTGACATGATCATCAACACAGCTGGGAGAATGTACAAAAATATCTTGAGGGCCAGTCCAGGAAGAAAACCCTGTAGAAATGACTTGATGAATTTCCTGCAAAAGAGTATTTGAAAACCTTACAACATAGAAATAAAATTCAAGAAAGAAGGAAGAAGCTTCTAGAAGACATAAAAAGGCCAAAAGCCATGTATTCTATAAGAGCAATGGACAGGCCATCCACTCAGAAACTATTCTATAAAATGCAACGGACAAGACATCCACTCAGAAACAGTACAACGACAAAAGTAGCAATAGAATAGGATATCGACAGAAACAAAAACAAGTGGGTTCATACTCTCAACTGGTTATTCTCTGTTAAAAAAATACTAATCATGGAACATTTTATTATTATGAATACCAGAATATGAAAAATATTTTGCAGACCCTCTAAATTAAAAGCAAATGAATGACAAACTACGGTCAATGTTATTTAACAATAACTATGATATCCAAAAAAGCATATGGTATGGTAGGTTTACTTACAATTCTACAACTGGCCTGAGAAAAGGAGCAACTCTTTCCAGACCCTCTAAATTTGCAAGTGATTGCACAAAGGCTATGGGTATCATGTAGAAGAACACCAAAGCAAACACCGAAAGCGAGATTACAAGTTTTCGGATGCTTAAAGAAATAAATGGTATAGCCAGGTTACGCCAATAGACATCCCGGGGTTCTGGGGCCCAATTTGTCAACCATAGTGTGGGATTCCTGCTCTGTTGTGTCTGTGCACAAACAGCCGCACCCCAACGCGAATCAAATGATACAAAAGCAACTGGCAAAATAGACTTAGTGTCTTTGAGAATCTTCTGTCGTTCCAGCGTCATCTAAAATACAATATAGGAATGAAATATAATGCATATAAATACAAATCCAACCTAAAATATAAACCATACTGCAGTACACAGAAAACACTGACCCTAAAGTGTACAAAGAAAGCTGAAAACGATAGCTTATAGAATAAAACGTAATGTTACTACAACTTACACTTTTCTCAAACTCCTGTATCTGTTTTTTGTAGTACTCAATGGAATCAACTTTTGTACCCCAAAGCCCCAAAAATCCATTCTGAAAATGAAAAGCACTTTAAATTATCAGCGTCCAAGACAAAAAAATTGCAGAAAAACTGTTAAATAAGTACATACACATACATTGATTGTCTAACAATATCACTAGTGATATGCATACAAATATGAATCGTTTGTTTCATGTAAGCACATATGGAAACACTACCTTCATTGTTGGTTTTTTGTCCGGGTGCCTTTCAAACTTAAGCAGGTTATAGTCTAGCCAATTTTGGAGCCGATCTCGCTTTCTCACAAGTTTGGCAAATTTGTTTGCATTGTACACTGCCTGAGTGAATAAAGAAAACCGATATAAATCAAAACCAAAGAGTGTGCTGTGGAAAAAGTACACAGCTGTTGTATATATCGCCCGTCCATCAAACTCCTTACTAGTGAGCTAAACAGATTTTAGTGATAACATTTCAATACCTGGTGGCAAAGATAATGATCCGGGTGGTTTGTTTTGAAGAAGTGATCCACACTATCCGATATTGAGCGACCCGAGACATGTGGTATATTCCTGACCACTACCTGAAAGAAAATAAAGGAAAAAAAATGTAAATTATAGTATTAGCCTTGGAGTTCAAAGACATTTTCCAAACAGAGAGTTAAGAGTAAAATTACTTTACCTGATCAATCTCTCAAGTAAGAAAAAGTAAAAAATGAAACATTAGCTCAATACAACAACACAACAACAACAAAGCCTTTTCCCACTAAGTGGGGTCGGCTAAAACATTAGCTCAATGAATAGAATTTTTATTTTAGTCATAAGAATTTATCAGATTGTGAATCATGTGAGAAAAAGAACTTTGACCACACTTTTCAAAGTACAAACAGTACTTTGGAAACGTTTTCTTGAGATTGACACATGTAGGCAAAGCAGGGAAGAATATATTAGTTAAAACAAAAACAGAAATAGAAACACAGAGTCATGCAGGTTGCGCTTGGTAAGTTTATGACTCAAGATCGAAAGGATTTATACAAGCATCATTTGCCCTCAGAAACAGAATGACACTCTAAGGTGACATATCGTAGCAGCTCAACCAGAATATAAGTTGAAATAGAAGCATAGAAAAATTAAATCAGGTGCTAATTTCTCCTAAATTAATAACATACATACTAGTTTTCTACAATTGTACGGTAATTGATGACTTTCTCACCGTGAACTGTTCTGCACGCCTATGCTGGGAAGTTAAGAATTGTAACCTCATTGATGCTACATAGTCATACTCCTTGTACAACATGTAACATGTCCAGAATGTGAACAAATATTCCAATCCTATGTGGACAAAAAACCTGCAATGGTATTGATTTTAAAACATAAGTAAAGCTTCTTACATGATAAAAGACAATACTTTCACCGAAAACAAAAATAAAAACAAAATAGAAGGAAACAAATGTAGCCGCAGATATTATATATTCAATACAATCAACCAAGTAAAGAAAATTACGCGTAACTATGATGTTGTTTTGACCTTCATTTACTCGCAATATCATGAAGTTCATTTCATTGATGCATAATTTGGTCAAAGAAAAGTCAACTCTACACCTCATACGGTAATCAGTTATTATCAAGTCTTAATATTAGCGAAAGTGTATAAGAGCCACAGGGTTACCTTATGGATTTTGGTCTCACATTCGATATAGAGAGCTTATCAATGTCACTCAAAACCAATTCTTTCCTTAGGAAATATAATGTTCCACTTGACACATTAACTGGAATGAGAATAAGAAGTGCTAGGACAGCCATTGGAACAAAAATCTTCAAGCTGCAAATAAATAGAAAGAAAAAAATAGTTATTATAATGCGCAAGATATTAAGCAGTAATTTCTAAAAGCTTGCTACCTAAGTATCGATGATAAATATGTACTCCTTTACACAAGTATAGACATTCACATAAATGCATGTAATAAGATAGAGGGCCTTGCTATTGCTATTGCTGACTTATGAAGGACGTTCTATTCTAATCCACTTTTCCCTTAAACTTAAGTCGTCATTAGTTGCGTGTTAGTCCGTAAATAAGAGGCTAATGTGCTTGTAAGACAAGATGTATACACCAAAACCGAACTCTTAATAAGAGAATTAACAACATATATGATATGAAGCTCATGCAAGTTGGGTGGTGTTATGAGTGGTAAGTATGCAATTCAAGGAGTTGGGAAAAGACGCGAAAGCCATCACTGTTTGGGGGTGACGGTGGTTTTTTGGGTCAAATGGACGAAGCAAAGTAGAATGATATTTTAGGATTATTCAAGGTGGGTGCGGATGAATTTCTAAATTAAGTTTCTTTTGCTCTGCTCTTTTGGCTTCTGCACTGCAGAGTTCAGGGAGTCTTCCGTGTCAACATTATTGCCAAACTCGAAAGCTGCAGAAACTTTGGCAAACAATTCTGATAGGCTCATACTAGCCCAAACAACTTGCACTCTGAACAAATAGATTAACCTGGACTTAAACCTTAAAAGGTCTCATCTTTACTACGATGCAATCGAAATTACTCAAACGAGCTTACTAGAGTATCGACAACACGTCCGCCTTGACCTTTTATTGTGGCTTGTGAACACCTCTAGTTTAACATTCAAACTCTAAGCAAGCTATCAATGGACAAATACCAGCCAGAAAGTCTTTCAAAAATGCAGTTCTATTAAAACATCTCAATTCCGTCACTACACAATTAACACAAATTTTATTTTGCAGAACAAAATATAAACACACCATCTGCATAACCCCTAACCACAAAATAATGGGGAATTCAATTCCTAATAAATTATTTTAATCCAAAGAAACAAACTTTAACCAATAGAACCAAAAAGTTATATAGTCACTTTCCCTCCCAATGATATTTTCACTAGAAACAACCCAGAGAGTCAAAATCAAGTAATATCAACTTCAACTTATACACAAAACAGAAGATACCAAATTTTCTGGTCCAAGTCAAACTTATCACTGAAGGAAAACAACCCCCAAGTCTCCAAATCAAAATTCCCAAAATTTTCTCATTAAAAATATATATATATATTAAATAAGTAAACCCAAGAAGCAGAAAAATGGTTGAAAAAGCAAAATTGAAGGGTGAGAACAAAAGTTACCCAAGAATATAAATTCTGAGGAAAACAGCGGAGTCGAGGCCAGCATGGCTGATAATCTCAGACTCGGACATTCTCATGGCCTGAGGCATCCAGTTGAGGAAAGTGAGGTAAGTCTTGACGTTGAGATTGACGAACTTGCCGACGAAGTTGGCGGAGCGCCGGGGGCTGCTCCTGCCGCCACTTATGTACCATTTCGGAAAATATACCCGGTCGTTCACCGGTTGGATTCTGAGGAGGGCAAAGGCCAGAAGGAAAGCAAAGGCACTCAGTATGTTGATGAAAGCTGACACCCCAATGTCACCCAGAGTCGCCATTTACCAACACCAACAACAAAACCCAGAATTTAGAGAGAGTATGAAATTTGAGAGAGAGAGAGAGAGAGAGAGAGAGAGTTGTGTATGGAGTTTAGAGAGAGAAGGAGGAAAGGTGAAGCTGCTCTGCTGGTCTGGGTTGGAAGATAAAGGAAGAAATAAGGGAAAGAATATTGAACTTTTTGTCCAATATTTGCAACTCTGGATTGGAAGATAAAGGAAGAAAGAAGGAAAAGAACATTGAGCTTTTGTGTAATATATTTTTGTATTTGGTACAATTTGTACAAAAGTGGGTTTCTCGTGATCTGTTCTGTTTGGCCAAATGATCCAAACGAGCCTCTGGTCCTCCAAGATTCTCCAATATATTAACATATTAATAAACAATACATAGTCATATTTGTTTCCGTCTCCAACCGAGGACCAAAGGGCTAGATGGCTCGTTTTAGTCCTGTCACAAAACATCGTTTCCAACCGAGGACCATAGGATCAAACATAATTTATTATTTAAATTTAAAATCTACATCAACTTAAATTTAAAAACTACAACTACAATTTAAAAACTACAAATTAAATTTGAAAACAACATTAACTTAAATTTAAAAACTACAATAACTTAAATTTAATATTTATAATCAACATCATCTTCATCATCCGTCATCGTAGGAGTATAGTCAGAGGTAAACAACTGTCATCGGCTCATAATTTCTTTTTTTTTTCCTATCAAAATAGGTCTTACTCATTGGAGTGTAATTCGAATTGTTCCTTTCCATATTCTTATCATCCATCTCTTCTTGTATTTGTTTGGCCCGTTCTTCATGCCTACATTTCCTTTCTTCCGCCTCAAGGGCATTTTGCTTCTCCAATAATTGCAATGAGGCCGCCACTTCATGTTGAGCGGCGTAATCATCATTTGCCTTGCTGTTTTCCTTCAACCTTCGCATTGTTTCGTCCCATAGCCCTAGGTATGGAACCTTCACCCGAAAACAGATTTTCTACCCTTATTTGTTGAATGGTTGGAGATCCATCTTCATTCATATCTGCAATTGAGGATGTAGTTCCGAACACCGGCGTATGAGCTCTCTGTGGTGGATCTTCAAATAATACCCACCCTTTACAAATTTCCCAACAACTGTGAAACTGAAAGGGTTTCGAGCTACTCTCCATATATAATTCATCCGCTTGGCGTACCTAGAAAAAAATTAAAGGAAATTAATTTATGAAATTAAATGTAATATAATTAAATATTTAAAATAAATTGTGAAAACACTTACTTCGTCGTAGTAATTAGAGCCCCTTTCATGTCTACTTACGACTGCTAACAATGCTTGATGTCATTTGTTCAAACTTGGCTGAAGATGTTTCTTCCATCTTGAAGAACAACTCTCGTGGTTTCGAATATTCACTGGAGTGGTGCCTTCATAGAACTCTAAGTATTTTTTTGGACACACAAGTGCAAACACCGTCATTTGTTTGACAATTCCCCCTCACACTATCTTCTGACACCCATCTATAAGCCTTGCAAAGAACTTCATCTTCTTTTCGGGTCCAATCCCTACCTTTCATTGCAGACGAGGCCATTTGAAAATTATTAAAAAAATTGAAGAATAGATTTTTGAAAGAGGAAGGAAAATATGATAATTGAAATGGTGTAGGAATTGTGAATGAATGGTTTAGGTATTTATATGAAAAAAAAATAGAATTTTTGAGAATTAAAAAATAAACAAAAAAAAGGCCTTAAAAACATAAAAAAAAAAATTGAATCCAACGGTAACTGGCGCCAGCTAGCCGTTGGATTCAAAAAAAAATTTAAGAACTCCTGTCAGTTATAACCGACACTAATAATATAGTATATATTATTTTTGTCGGCTATAACCAACAAAAATAACAAAAAATTAAAAAAAAAAATGGCCAACCCCGGGCTGGTTGGCTGGAGCCAGCCTTCTAGCCCTCCCCGATTCCATGTGGCCCTCCCAGATTCCAGAGCCCTCTAACCTAGCCCTCGATTGGAGACGGTTTTCGGGCTATTTTCGGCCATATGGACCCTTCGGTTGGAGATGGCCTAAGTGAACTCCTAGTCCAAAGGCTGTTTGTGTCTTTTTATTTATCTAACAAACGATATTATTTACATTAACATTATTAGAAAGCAGTTAAATTTCACAATAAACTAATAATAATTTGATTTAAATTCTCTTTTAATGAGAATCGAATATTAAACTTTTCACTTACAAGTAAAGAATAATATTACTAAAAAGTAGTATAAGTGGCAAAAAATATTGTGTCTTACATAGGGCTGGGTTCGGTTCTGATCGGTTCGGTTTTTTGCCAAAACCGAAACCAAACCGAAATTTCGGTTCGGTTCGGTTCGGCTCAAATTTTTTTCGGTTTTTTTCGGTTCGGTTTTTTTTTCGGTTCGGTTTTTTCGGTTCGGTTTCAGTTTTTTTCGGTTTTTTTTTTTTTTCATCCAAAAAATGCAAAACAACCACAACACTTTATCATTCTGTTTCCCTGTAACATGAGACTGAGTTCTCTCTACAGCATCATTGGCCACAAGAAATGAACCACAGATATCACAGAGTGCCATTTTTTTCTCCTGTGCTAGCATCAACACTTTATCATTCTGTATTTCTTCCTTACAGCATTTACTCGCTGAAATCATCAAAAAGCCGCTCTCTCTCTCTCTCTCTCTCTAAAAAAACTCAAATCGTTTTGCCCATCTCATCTCCAAATGCACTACATCTTTTTAATGCTTATAGTCCATAGAAGATCTGAATCTGACTGCACTGTTATTTTCTCTCCCTTGACGATATTCGATGTACTTATCAGACCACCAAACCTCATCTCCGTTTCAGCTGGAAAAGAAAAGTAAAGCACGGGCTGTTAGATAACTCGAAACATGAACAATGAAATCAATATTAGACACGCCTTTTCCCTTTTTGGTCACATTTAAGCAGGTCAGAACAGGAAGAGGTGACCAGAAAAGTATATGCTAAGTGAACCCCTAATACAATAAAAGTATGCATTAACTAGCCTTACGCTCTTAAGAGATACTCACCGAGATCCCATTGAAGTCCAGTGGTTGTAGTACTTCCAGATGGCATCCCAATGGGTATGAGTCCACAATGAGGGCCTTCAACAGAAGACTGAATATGGATCTCATGGCGGTGTGAAGATGGATGAAGCAATCATCAGATATGAGAATTATTTGAATGTTTGAGAATCGACATAACACATTGATGTTTTCCAATCGACATAACTCAGTTCATGTATAGAGGTGAAAAACAAAACTAGCAGTCTATTTAGCAAAGTGTCAAAATCTGTAATCAACAAATTTGACTACCCAACTCACAATAAGTTGCAAGGAGTAAGGACACAGTTTTAGTTACCGAAAGTTATACGAAAGCACCTACAAAATCAGACTCAATTCCAGTAGAAAAACAAAACGAATGTTGGAACGATAATAATACACAACATACATTAGACTTATCTAGGTTTGGTGCCGAGTCACATATGTATGCTATACACTTATGCAAATCGGTCGTGTCCTGATCCTCAGATTCATTAATAATTTGAGTTCCCTGCATTCAAATAGCAAAAGAGACATCCTGAGAAAACACCAGAGCACTGCATGTATGCAAATCAATTAGCAATTTAGCAACAGTACCACCGCGACATCAAATGCAACATAACTCCAAGGATGACAACATTAACAAACAATTCCACAAGTTTGCTAGATACGACAAGGAATGACAGTTACAGAAAGAAAATAACCTTGCAAAACCAAAAGAAAATATAAAATTAATGAAACCTCAACTAATAGTTTTCATAACTGAAGTTACCCAAAACAAATTGCAAAACCAAAACCCATGAAATTGAAAAGCTACAGAACCCATGAAATTGAAAATAAATTCTGCAAAACGCATCAAATTGAAAACAAAATATGTAGAACAAACATGAGAGAAATTATTATAAGACTAACCTTGCAAAGGAACGAAGTAGTGGGTCGAGACTCGAAACAGCAAGAGGTCGTGGGTCACAGGTCATGGCGGTGAGAAACTGAGAGCAAATCAGTGACGACGAGTGAGATGGCGACACTTGCAGGTCGCTGTGAAGGAAGAAGACGAAGCGGAAGAGCGGCGGAGTTGGGAAGGAAGGAGAGAGGGTCCAGAGTACAGAGGAGAGGGATAAGGGAAAAGGGTCGGGCCGTCGTGGGTCGCCCGAGAGATTGAGAGAGACAGAGCGATTGAAGTTGAAGACCCAGCGAGAGAGAGAGGAGGCTCGGCTGCGCTGGGTTAGGGTTACACTGGAGGAGAGGAGGCAGGGAACGAGAGAGAGAGGAAGGGAATGAAAAAAAATAAAAGGTATGGGTATGGCTGCTAGGGTTAAAGGGTTAAAGGGTTTTGTTAAGTTCTCCAAAAAATTTAAAAAACATCTCGGACATCCTGGAGGTTCGAACCCGTGCCTTGGGGCTTGAAAAGGTTCATCGCAACCAACTTAGCAACAAGGTATGCTTTGTTATGATTGTATGACTAACCTATTTATAATAGTTAAAAAAATAATTAAATATATATATATCAGTTCGGTTCGGTTTGGTTCGGTTTCCGAACCTCAAAAACCGAAACCGAACCGGTCAGATTCGGTTCGGTTCGGTTTGACAGTTTCGGTTCGGTGTTTTTTCGGTTCGGTTTTTTTCGGCCTCGGTTCGGTTTGGTTTTCGGTTTTTTTCGGTTTTCGGTTTTTTGAACCCACCCCTAGTCTTACACTATGTTTGGATAAGGGAAATAAACTTGAAATTTGAATTAAAGACATAATTTATAAATTGACATGCACAAATTCCCTTATTTGGATTCATAAACATAGAAATTTAGAATTTCCGCATGGAAAAAAACTTGGAATTTGGGACCTCGAATTCCCAAGTTTAAATTCCATGTAAATAAGTGTCATTTTCCAATTTCTATGATTAAGAGTTTAAAAACAACAAATTTCGTATTCAATTCTATTGTTTTTTTAGGTTACTCAAACAAGAAAATTCACAAATTCTATAGAATAAAATTTCATTATTTAAATTTCCGTCATTTTAAAATTCCTTAGTAATCTTAAATTTCTTCATCCAAATATAGTGTTAAACTTATCATTTTTCTTGTGTATTTTATTCTTCCTTTATTGTGTGCTTTTTGGGTGCTTGGGTCATAGGTTTTCTTATTATTTTAGTTGCATGTGCAAGCGTGATTAGTTGACGTAGTTGACTACTTGAGTCATTGTATTCATAATGTCATCGTGGTATCTTGTAGATGACGTTTGATTGAGGATAAAAAAAATCCGTGTTATATAAGTTGTTATCAGTATTAATCGAGGAGGAGAAAAAAGCGTGGGGGCTGGTTGTTGCTTTTGTATGGCATCAAATCCAATTTATTCAGCTAATTGATTGGCATTGCTTCTTGTCAATGTATTGCATTAATACAGGAATTAAAATAAAATAAAAGGATATCCCACTCAGAGATGGATCCTATTCGGATTCAAGTTGTGAGGATTTTAAAAATTCTCATATTCTTACCATTTATCGTAGTACATCGTACGGTTAGAAATTATTTAAAATTTATTTATTTAAAATTAAATATAAATAGTATCTAATAAAAACTGATTACACGATATACAATAAACGATTATGATATGAGAATGTTTAGAATTCCCGTAAAAATGATCCGGAGAGGATCCTAATCATGCCACTCGATTTCTTTGTCTCTTTTTACTTTCCACCTGTTCTGTGCGGCGGGAAAGCTGCATGTCATAATGGAATTTGCTAGAGTTACGCCATATAATCAGCCATCTGATTTTATATACTTTCTTTTTTTGTATGACAATATCTCTAATAATTGTACAGGATTATATATTATTTTTAAGATAAACAATAGCTTAATAGACTAAATTATTATATGTTATGAAGAAAGATCGGCGGTAATCGAATCCACACAAGGTACATAAACATTATAATTTTGGTCATTCCGTTAAATCGTAATCTGTCAATTTATATTTTTTCTTAATTACAAATTGTAGTGAACTTATCGTTTAGTATGCAGATGGGACGAGATAGAACGGAATGAGATGGGACCAGACGGGACAAGACGGGACAGAACGGAGAGGGAGCAAAGATGCCCTCGGATGGAAACAAGGAGGAAGAAGAAAGAGACGCAGAGGTTATAATTTTGTGTTCGACGGATATGGAACGAGTCGTTCCAGGGGATGAGGCGGAACGAAAATTCACCCAAAATTCGTCGCGTGGAACAGCGCATTCCACCCGTTTTAGGCGCACCAAACGTGGAACGAAACGCCTTGTCCCACTCCATTCCGTTCCGTCCCACATACCAAACGGTACCTGCTGAACGGCCGTGAAGGGAATACTGCAGACGATGTTTTGTTGACTTTCCTCCCTGCGCTTGAGTTTTTGGTCATGCAGTCTAGTGCCCTCTATTTCCTTTGTTTTAGATGATGATAGTTATAAACTGTATAGAAATAATATGCCTCCTTTTTTAATCTTCATAACAACATCAAAATGACAATTATATTTGTCATGATACATGAAAAGTGGACAGTTTATTGTGATGCATGACAACTAATCATTATCTTTTATAGCAGATGACGTTTTACTGTGGCGACGAAAAAACAATCATGTTTATGTCGTTAATTTAAGATGTTCATATAATTAAAACACACTAGACTACTATCCTGGATCGCTGAGTTCCAATAACATCTTATTCTTGTTGAATCCCTCAATGCATGATACTAAGAATTCTTGTATTGGTTTCTACACAGTAAATTACAATACTGAATGGAGAGTACTAAATGTAATGCGCGTAGCACCAACATCAATCCTTACTAATATAGAGTACATAACCCTAATATGATACGGCCATCATATGCCCATTGTAAATCCTTATGCATCTATACTTCCTTAAATTCACTAAGCCCATTTTGCCCATATTACTCAAATTCACTAAACCCTAGTGGGCACATGATATTCTAACGTAATATTACAAAGTCGCAATTGGACTTCCAAGCAATCCATAAGTGACTAGGAGAAATATAATGTTTTGAATACTGAAAAAGTTCCAATTGAGTTTGCGTCAGAGTACATGAGCATTGGAATATATCAAGTACCTGTACACCATCAAAGTTGCTCATTGCTTGAAGGAATATCTTACGGACGGTATCACTATCCAACTTCTCCTTTCAATCAGCAATTTTGAACCCAAACGTTCAATCATTCATTGACAACTCTCATATTTTGAAATTGCTAATGCCACAGTAAACCTCAAATTTTCACCAAAAAACTTAATTACATTTTGATAACAAATTCTAAAGATTTCAAATAAAACAAAACCAATTGTACACAAACTGGCATGGTGACTTGTAAATATGACTAGCAGAAAGGCATTAAAATTTAAGATTATAGCACTTGGTGAAATTTGAGGACAAGCCTTGGGGCAAAGAAAATGTTGCTCTTTTGTGATTACTGTTCAAGGCCATGGAAATAGTTTATTTGTAATGTAAACGTAAAACTACCTACAATAGACATCGACCCCCCCCCAACCCCCTCAAAACGAAAAATATTTTTGAGTTGGGGTCGCCCCTTAGCACTCGGTGAAATTCCGTAGTTAGAAATAGCCTTGGCTAAAACGCTATAATAACCAAAAGTGAGAAAAGAGTCAAAATAATCTACAAAATCACCAGTCAGCAGACTTCTTAAATGAATTGTTAAGGTCAAGTCATGTTTTTTAGAAGAGCATGCAGTGTTGCCTCAAGGAATTACCTCTGGCCTTCGGGGTCTGTGGGTTCAATGCACGAACTTCTTTAAGGAAATAATCCCATACCAACTTTGGAATGGTGAAAACCCAATCTAGGTAATTTGCGTTCATGGGGTTGTTCTGGTTTTGTTCATATCCATCACATAAGTTTGGAAAGTTAGGTCCTAGAGCGAATAAACATATCTTTATAAAATATTGTAAAAACTCGAAAGGTTATGTGATGTATGGTGAACATCTAGATTGAGGGAGAACCGAGATCGAGTCATGTGATGTGGAATTCATAGAGAATGACTTTCCAAAACTTGGTGATACGGTCAAGAAACTTGTTCTCCATAAGTTGGAGCAAGATAAACTCACAACATCTTCAAGCGAATGAAGGGAGTTAATTTCTAAGCCGATGGTTGCTAAGAGCAACTCCACTCTTAGAGCCCTCTCCCCAAGCAATCCACTATTCAATCCACCCTGTGAACAATAATTGCCCTAATGAACAGTAACTGTCTTTTGCATCTTCACTTTTGCACTTGAATAGCCCTGGCAATAGGTAATAAAATATTATTAAATATTTTTTTTACAAAATAATACTAAATAAATTTATTGGTAATTTCGGATAAAATATTTTAATCGTTCTCTTTGCGTCATGTGTCATTTACCCAAAACAACTATTATTGGTCATAGATTTCGATAAGATTTTTATCCAGTGTCATCGTGCCACGTGTCGTTATCTTTTCAGAATATTTGAGGATAGATTTCGATCAGATTTTAAATCGTTCTCATTGCGCCACGTGTCATTATCCGAAAAGATAATTATTGGTGATGGATTTCGATAAGATTTTTATCAAATGTCGTCGTGCCACATGTCGTTATCTTTTCAAAATCTTTTAAGATAGATTTCGATGAGATTTTTAACGAATGACGGCATGCCACGTGGCACTATCTACAACCTAATCATTTCAGAATCCTCCATATAATCCATCATCCGTCCTTGCCCAATCTCACACCAATTTTCTCAATTCCTTTATCATTATTCATAGTTTCTGCTTCCTGCTTCACCAAATCAAAATCTTTATCATTATTCATAGTTTCTACTTACAATGTCTTCTTCTTCAAGCATGATGTGGGAAATCGATCAAGAAGAGGAAGAATTGCTTAACTAATATGAAGGAATGTTCAATCTTCATATAGCCTAAAATGAGAAGGAAGAGGATGATGAGCGGAGAAGAAGAGATGACGAAGCAAGAATGGCCAAAGACTCACATTCTCGTCGAGTCATCCAAGCTGTGGGTCAGATATGCAAGCTCACCCGTTCCAAAAACCTTGATAGAAGCAGGCACCAACGAGGTGATGAGCTGTTGGACGATTATTTTGTCCATAATAGTGCATTTCCTGATATGTACTTCAGATGTTGTTTTAGAATGAAACGAAATTTATTCAACAAAATCATGATTGTTGTTTGCAACCATGATTCTTACTTTGTGCAAAAGAATGATGCTTGTGGTGCTATGGGTCTCCTTCCCGAGCAAAAAATTACTGTTGCGATGCGGATGCTTGCGTATGGAGCAGCTGCAGACCAAGTGGATGAGATAGCGAGGATGGGGAAATCAACCATTCTTGAGTCCCTGATGAGGTTTTGTGGAGCAATCAAATATATCTACACCGCAGAGTACCTTCGGAAACCTACTCACATAGATTTGGAAAGGCTTCTGAAGAAGGCCGAGATGCGAGGTTTTCTTGGGATGATTGTATGCATTGGACGTGGAAAAATTGTCCAAGTGCATGGCAAGGCGCTTATGGAGATTAAAAAGGGGCAAAAAGTATCATTTTGGAGGCGGTGGCATCCTTTGATACATGGATTTGGCACACCTTTTTTGGGGTTCCGGGAGCTCAAAATGACCTCAACGTCCTTGCCCAATCCCCAGTGTGAAGGGAAAATTATGAGATTCTAGAATGGGATTTCATAATGACTATCATGCATATACAAATCTAAAATTAATATACGAAAGCAGCGGAAGCATTTATAACATATTATCAAAGCTATAGTCATGCAAATCCCCTTCAAGGTTCATAGGTTTATATATAATGCATCAAAACAATTTTAGAATCAAGAACAAAGTGAAGGTTAGTCTTATACCTCTTGATCTAGACTTAAGACCAAGGATGGACCACCTCCAAGGCCTTTGCTCCTTGAAATCCTTGAGCCTAGCTTCCCTCCTTGCCTCCTCCACTTTGTTACAATGAGTGCTCCTAGGTTCTCTTCAAGTTCCCAAAGTAGGAAACCTCTAAAGATCCTCACCCACTAGTGTAGTGAGAAGGATGAAGGAATAACCAAAAGGGTGTAAGAGATGTTAGTAAAAACTCCCCTTTGGTGGCCGGCCTTTGTGGTTCAAGATGGCTATTTTCTTTTGCCTCTTTTGTTGTTCAAAACTCACAAAAAACCCTAATGAACAATATCTTATAAAGTTCCTTATATAGACAAAAGAAACCTAGTCAACACTTGACTAAATATCTCTCATTTCTTCACCTAAAGTGGCCGGCCCCTTTGTGTTGTTTTTGGGCTTTGGGCTTTTATTATTTCAAGTCATCCAATGCTTGAATAAAAGCCCAATGGGTTTAGGCCCAATGGGCCTAATTAAACCCGAACGTTTCTTTAAGCCCAAAACGATCTTTATCGCTTTTATGATTTCTTTAGACTTTTCTAAATTAATCACAACACATAATTAATCCAATTAATTGTTTCCATCATCCATTAGTTACTCACTACAATAGTGTATTGGTGAACAACCTTTTAGGTTCTAATTAGCAAGGCAGTGAGGTGATTGACATCAATCCAATTGCTCATATTTAATTCAATCACTTAGTGAATTAAAACTTCATTTTAATTCACCTTTCTTCTTTGACGACTACATTTAATCATCTAGAAAAACTCACAAGCTATGAGTGACATCTAACCATATGTCATAGCTACCCAAGCTAATGTAGAAGTTTATTCAAAGAACCTAGTCAGTTGGAATTACAATGTAATTCAATCCTTCTCTAATACAATACTCTCAATCACATCATTAGGGTATGGATATATCATGTCAAACCCCTAATGTGATTATTCCTTCTTATATGATCCAATTGAGTCATATAGGAACGCTTTCCTTTATTACGCTCGATACTTCGGCCGAAGATTCCCGAATCATATCTTAGAGTATTCTTCCTCTCTTATCGAGGATTAGAGATTCCTTGTTGCGCATACACTTGCCTTCACGACTAAGTGGCTTAACCCCAATTATGCCGTGGACACCCTCGAATGGGGAGACTTTGACATAATCAAAGATTAAGTACTTAACCACAAGACAACGACGATGCCTCAGGTCTAAGGATTACTTACATCTTTCCAACCATTAGAGTTACTTGCTTGACATGTGAGTAGACCTCCATGCAAGTACTCCCGTTTGATTGTGTTCAGTGAACTCATTCCCTTAATGAGCACCTACATACTTGTCTTAGTGTCACAACACGAATGGGATGAGACTTTCCATCCTTCCAATTGAAGCAGACATAGTATGTACCGGTCTACGCATTGTCAGTATCCCTCCGACAATCCAATGACCAGGAACCTTTTTGGACATCTGATTATGTGAAGAAGGTCTCTGTAGTCTAACATCATTAGATTACTTCTTCAATCGATCCATTGTCCATGGATTCACTATTCAGGACATATTTCGTTTATTGAGATAGTCCTAATTAGTATCTTTGCCATTTGATGTATAAGAATCATCCATACATCGATTCATTTGTCCTGAAAGATTTCTTCCCAAGATTGACTTTCAGGGCATATTTCCAACACAGTGTTCAACGATGTCCTGCAAGGAAAGTCACCAAAAGTCATGTATGAGGTCAACGGACGTATGTACGACGAGTCATACTACCTAGCTGACGACATTTACCCAATGTGGTCAACATTTGTCAAAACAGTGTTACATCTGCGAAGTGCAAAGGAAAAACACTTTGCAAGGTGTCAAGAGAGGTGCAGGAAGGATGTGGAGCGTTGTTTCGGTATCCTTCAAGCTCGCTAGGCGATCGTTATAGGTGCTGCCAGATTGTTTGATGTAGAGTCGCTTCGATCCATCATGATGACGTGCATCATTCGTCACAACATGATTGTGGAAGATGAGTACGATTATGAAGCCGTTGATGAATATAAGCCAGACACGATGAACAATTCAAGAACACGTATATATTGTGCTCATGACGCTACCGATGAGCCCATGCAACATGAGCCATTAGAAAGGGATGGACGTTACAATGATAGGGTCATTCAACGATATATTGCATTTCAAAGGCCAGACATGCACAATGCCAGGCAAAATGACTTGATAGAGCACCAGTGGGCATTGAAACAAGCTGAAGATAATTAAGTTCATTTAGTGAGGTTTTTTTATTTGGTATGTTTATGTAATTTTATTTGGTGTGTTTTATTTTAGTTCATTTAGTGAGGTTTTTATTATTTGGTGTGTTTTATCTTAGTGAGGTTTTTATTATGAGGTTTTTATTATTTGGTGTGTTTATGTAATTTTATTTGGTGTGTTTATGTAATTTTATTTGATACATTTTATTTGGTGTTCATTTCGTGAGTTTTTTATTTGGTGTGTTTATGTCATTTGAATAAAGATTCTCTTATAGTATAAATATATTACCATATTAAATAAATTTACTCTCACTTTAAATAAAGTACTAAATTCAATAAATTGGAAACAACATAAAAATACTCAATTAAATAAATAATAAATTACAACCCAAGGTGGTTGGAAAACTATGGGCTCCGATTACAAAAAGTACTATATTCATCATCACTTAACCAATTTGTGCTGCTAGGACCATCTCCTCTTGCTCTCGCTTCTCTTGCACACCTTCTACGCACCACATCCTCTTTCTCCGACTTCCAAAAATATTTAGAATTTGGAGACTTCCCTTCTAAAGGTGTGTTCATAATCTCACGATCTCGTTGAGTCATTCTTTCTTTTCTAACCAGTTCCCTTTCTTGCCCAAGTAGCTCTCTTTCTCTCTAATTAGCTTGAAATTATCTCTCCACAGCTGCAACTTTTACCTCCTCTCTAGCCTTATCAGCCTCAAATTTCGCAATTTCCCGCGCCAAAGTCAATTCACTATGGCGAGTAAGTTCTTCCATGTACTTTGCATAATCATGCTTGGAAGCACTTCCTTTTCTCTTTGAAGCCTTCTTACCTTGAGGCCTAATTGGATAACGGGTCAAACCCGACGCTTGTTTAGGGATGGACGTTTCAGGCACTTCTTCTGCATCATCTTCATGCGAGCCATTATCAGATGTAGAGTATAGTGGGGTGCTGTTCATGACAACTTCTGGACCGACAGGCACAACTCTGAATTTAGGACAATCTTTGACAATATTCCAACATTCCCACCAGTTGAATGATTTATTTTTGCTTTTGGTTTTGGCACCATACCAAGCTTGTGCTTGAATTAGCTACACAATGGGGGAGAAGAAATAATTATAATCAAAGTAGGTAACAAATAAATAATACAAACAAATAAATATAATTAAACTAGGTAACAAATAAATAATACAAACAAATAAATATAATTAAAGTAGGTAACAAATAAATAATACAAACAAAAAATTATAATCAAAGTATGTAACAAATAAATAATATAAACAAATAATTATAATTAAAGTAGGTAACAAATAAATAATACAAACAAATAATTATAATTAAAGTAGGAAACAAATAAATAATACAAACAAAAAATTATAATCAAAGTATGTAACAAATAAATAATACAAACAAATAATTATAATTAAAGTATGTAACAAATAAATAATACAAACAAATAATTACAATGTAAATTTGGGTATAGTGCAAACAAATAAATAATATATTATTACCTGATCCGTGTAATTTTCCCCACTTCGAAGATTACTACTTGCTTGTGCCAATGCGTCTCTCCAAATACTAAACGATTGGCTAAGTAATTTCCAACGACTAGACATCGATTCTTTGGTTCTACTCCCGCCCATTTTTTCAAGATAATTGGTATGGATAAGACTCCACATTTCTCGTAACTGCATCTCATTACCTGTACAGGAACTATGAGTAACTTCAACCCAGCTAGTACACAATGCAACATCTTCAAGAAATGTCCAATTCGTGCTGCATCAGTAGTCATTTTGTTGAAAAAAATTGGATTGAAACTTTGAGAGAAAGATATGAATGTGATTGAAAGTAGTTGAGAAAATAAGAAATTGTGGTGTGAAGTAGATAATAATGAGAAGGTATTTATAGAAAAGTAGAAACATTTTTTTTTTTATTTTCAGATAATTTTTTCGGATTTTTTATAATTTTAAATTTTTTTTTATTCAAATAATTAATCTCTGCCGTTGGATTTTAAAAAAATTAAATTCCAACACTTCAGATTGTGCCACGTGTCACAACGGTAACTTTTCTTAATTTTAAAACTATTTTTCTTTTATTTATAAAGCATATTAATATCGACCGTTGATCTTAGATCGAACGGTTGATATTAAATAATATTTTTTTTATTTTTTTTACCGTTGAGATCCAACGGTCCAAATTAAAGAGCCGTTGAGATCGAACGGACAGTGGGAAGTCACGTGGCTTCCCAACGGTAACTTTTCTGTCTGAAAAGTTGACTGACTTTTCTGAAAATTGGTCGGGCGATGCGCCCCTACGCGCTAGTAGGGTGCACGCGCCTGACAGAAAAAAATAAAAAAAGGGGTAGACGCCAGGGCTAGCATCACACCCACTTGGGGGCTCGGGCTGTCAGCCCGTCACAGGCCCGGAGCTCGGGCCTCACCTCCGCTCGGGCTCTTTCAAGGCTGGAGCAAGTTCACAAGGCCTCGGGCCCTTTCCTCTCCCATGTCCCCGAGCAATGTCCATGGGTGGACTTGCTCTAAAGATGATGTAGGAAGACTTCATCCTAGTAGGAGTGTACCCTTAGACACTCAAGAGAATATGCCCACCTATGGGAGGAGTTTGAAGGAGCAAAAGAGACCACATTCCCAAATGTCATTTTGAGGCTGGGGAAGCCTACATTTTCATACTTTCAGAATAAGATGAACCTTCTTCTTACAAATAAGTGTTGCCTTCAACTGCCAAAGATAAATGGATAAATACAATAAAGGAAGGGATGAGCACCAAGGATAAGAATATTGTTTGGGAGTTAGTTGACCTTCCGCTTGGGTATAAAGCCGTTGGGAACAAGTGGGTTTTAAAAATCAAACGCAAGGAGAATGATGTCCTTATAAACTCGTTGAGTGCATGGATCTCTGGTTTCTATGTTAATCTTGGTCGAAGTGAGATTCTATGTACTAAAGTTAAAGGTGTTTTTATCGGGATGCAACTTGCATGGAATAATAGAATTAGGAAAATTATTGTGGAATAAGATTCTACGCTTACAATACAACTAATTTTAAATGCAAAAGTGGATCTTTTAGAAGTTTGGTAATGTATACCATGCTCTTATGCATCAAAGTTGAGTTTGTAAATTTGTCTGAAAATAATTTTGTTACTGATGAATTGGCTGGATTGGGTTTATCATGTAACATGAGTTATGTCTTTTTATCGGTTGCTATTTACAAATATAACTGAAGTGACATGACATCGTCAGTGCTTTATGATTGTGACTCAGAAATTTCTACGGTAGGTGCTTGTATGCCATACATTTATCATTCGACGGTCAGATGTGAAGAGCGAATAATATCTGACCGTTGGATGGGGAAGCCAGTCTCCAGTGACTGAATTACCGAACGGAGTCGCTCGCATTTTTGCATTCCCGAATCGAAAGAGAAGCTCTAAAACCCAATAGCGGCTGGCTGGGTAAGGCTCTGTAAAACCCTTTTGCTCTGGAGGACGAAACCATGGCGATGCAGAGATTATTCTCCAAGCTTCGTTCTTTCTCTGTGCACTCAGCCCAAACTCTCCCATCATCTCTCTCTTCTCCTTCATTGCTTCGGTCTTGCCCTCCGCTGCTTCACCAGCCTCTCCCTTTCGCATCAATTGATAACAGATGGATCGTCAGGTCCCTTTTCAGTGCCCATTCACCGACCCAACCTTCACTGGCTGTCACTGCTCTTCGCTCCTCGCCATTCCCTTTCTCGGTAAGTTGGGTTTTTTCAGTGGGTGGTCTTGCCTGTTTGGTTACTGAGAAAATGCCTGAGAAAGATATATTCGTGTTCTTGAATCATTAGGAAATGAAGAAAATTTTGCAGCAAATACCGGACTTAGTTGGGGGTTTTATTTGATTTTGGTCTGTTTTGTAATCGATCAAAGGGCAATGTGAATTGGGGGTTTAGATATGGTATTGTTATGTGCATTGATGTGCAATTATATACCATTGTTTTGAAGAGAAGTGGTGTGGTGTTTGTGTATGTTAAGATGGTTCAAGTGCGGCACGTTTCGTCAAGGGAGCGTAAGAAGCGGAGAAAGCCGATGACTCCCGTCACATCCAAGTTAAAGAAAACCAAATTAAAGTCTTACTCGTAGGTTTTTGTTTTCTCAGCCATCATATTATGTGATTTGTATTCTCCTTTTGGAAATGTTATTACAGTTTTGGGTAATAAGTGGTTTTGAAATTTCATGATCAGGTCTTACAAGTCCAGGTTTAGGACAATGAATGATGGGACTATTCGGCGGTGGAGGGCTGGCAAGCGGCACAATGCCCATTCGAAGGTGTGCTTTGCATTTTGATTATTCAAAGCTTGGGTTTCGTATGTACAGTTGGTCAATTCTCATCTAGCTAGTAGTAAATTTCAGTCATGTTTCAAAGTCTATATGAATGAATGGTCTACTACATGCGGGATGGTGAATTTCAGTACACATACAGTACACACAACTACACAAGAAAATTTCTTTGGTGATATATTTTTTTTGGGGCCAAACTTCTTTGCTAATTTAGATTAACTTTAATTCTCTGGAAGTGGTTTGGTGATGCATGTATTGGTGCAACTTGAATGGGCTCTGCCTGATCTCCATGAAGCCAATCCAAACTTTCTGCCCGTATGGACAGGTTAAAAAAGGCTCAGGTTGAGTTTGAGTTGAGAAATTATGAACCTGATAAATTTTGAGTTGAACACAAAATTGACTACCCAACTTCTAAACTTGAATTCCAGTTGCTGTGTTAACACGAATTACTGATAAACTTACAGGGCCTTTTGAACAGTATCTTAGCTAATGAAGGGCTGTATTGTTGTTGTTCCTTTAATTTAAATAGTAACAAAAACACTTTCATTTGCGAGGAGGGAGATTGGAATGGATAATGATAAACTTATTACGAGAAAAGAAGGATCACTTAATAGTGGAATGAGTTGGCTCAAGTTAAGGAAAAAGGAGCCTTAAGGGTAGTAAAGAAATGAAGTTATTCTTGGGATGTGGTTGTGGAAGTTCCAGACATAGTAAAATTCCCTTTGGGGGATGGGCTGCATGAGAATGTCTGGATTCCCAAGATCGCAGCTAGTGGTTCAAGTCGATGCTCGTGAACTAATATTGTGTAACCATAGGTAAAACCTTTATACTTAATGATTCCATTGCTATTGGTCTTCTTTATCTTTGTCTGAATTTTTGGCTTCCATGTAATTTCGGTGAGCAGGAAATGAAAGATTTCCTGTCTTTGCTGTCAGATCTGGAATGTCTTGCTTGTCTCAAGTGGAGCCAATTTGCAAACCTAGCACCAATTTCTCTTTATCATTTGGGGTCCTTGTGTCCTTTCCATCTAAACCACCCAAATCACAGCCATTACCAAACAGCCCCACATAACTTTGAGCTTCTTATTCGTCCACACCTTTTTATGGTCCTTGTAGAGAAAGGAAAAAGCAAACACTTGCAATGACCTAACTTATTCATCTCCCTGAACGGCTAATTTTGTGTAACCAAAGGTAGATTTACTCATATCTGATTTACATGAATAAATTGATACTAGCAACCTGCGTGGCCTAGATTTTTATTCATTTTTAATGGCATACATATTAGAAATTGGTGGCCCAGCGTCATGGCACCTTTTGCACATGGCTAGAGCATTCCAGAGACTAATTCGAGAGCTTCAATAGAGGATAATTTTATATTAGTGAGGTTACGTCCCCTATATTAGTGAGTAATGAGTATGTAATTTCATAACTTGGTTTTACAGTGATTTGGTATCTTTCTTCTCATTGGCATGTAATTTCAATCATTTAATGCTCCATTGTCCTCTTGTGTGTCTTTTATGGACAAGGCTGTTTAGGGAGACCATTTTGAATTGGGCAATCTTTGAATCTTGTGTTGAATTACTTTGTGAGAAGCCCAAGTCTTGGAGGAAAGAAAAGGGGCATGGTGCTGGATATGTAGTGTTCTGAAAATATTTTGGGTTGTTTGGATGTAGAGAATTCAGAGATTGTTCAAGGTGCTAAGGGGGAGGATGAGTTTGTTTCTGGTCATCTTTCAGTTCTTAGGGTGCTTTTGTTAATTAGTTTTGTTTGCATTGCGGTGCTGATGTTAATTAGTTTTGTCTACATTTCAGTTGCCTACTAATTGGGCTAGTGATTAGATTACGTTCGAGGTAGTGTGTGCCTTGCTTTTATGCACTTATTGAATCTGGTGATAAACTTAGATAAGATAACTGTGTCTTGTTAGTGCTTCGGCTGTAATTCTTTTTTTGAGGCTGATGCATTATTGAAAGGACATGTTTACCTTTTTCATCATGTCAAATAAAAGTCTGCTGCAAATTTTAAGTATAAAGGTTTTACCTGTCTACTTAAAAGTGACGGACTATAGGCCCATAAGTTTAGTAACTGGATTGTATAAAATTATAGCCAAAACACTGGCTTCAAGATTGAAGGAGGTTTTGGATACCACTGTCTCTCCGAATCAGGGGGCGTTCGTCAAAGATAGACAAATTTTGGATGCTGTCCTCATTGCAAATGAAGTGGTAGAAGAGGTGAGGCAGAAAAAAGAGAAGGGATTGGTGCTTAAGATCGACTTTGAAAAAGCGTATGATCATGTGGAATGGAGATTTCTGGAAGAAGTACTACAAAGAAAAGGTTTTGGCAATAGATGGAGGAAATGGATGCAAGGATGTTTAAGCTCTGCAAATTTCTCCGTTTTGATCAATGGAAGGCCAAGGGGAAAATTTCAAGCTTCAAGAGGTTTGAGACAAGGCGATCCACTGTCACCATTTCTTTTCACCTTAGTAGTCGATGTTCTGAGCAGGTTAATGGAGAAGGCACAAGAAACTGATCTCATCAAAGGCTTGTGTATCGGCCAAGAAAAGGTGGAGATATCTCATCTCCAATTTGCCGACGACACCATTTTCTTCTTGACAGAAGACGAGGAAGTTTGGAACAACCTAATCCAAGTGCTTAATTTATTTTGTTCGGTCTCAGGATTGAAAATCAACAAAGCTAAGTGCTTTTTGGCTGGGATAAATTCAGACAATGAGAAACTAAACAGGCTGGCAGTTTCTTGGGGGTGCGAGGTAGGGTGCTGGCCGATAAAGTATTTGGGGCTTCCCCTCGGAGGAAGGCCAAGAGCAATAAAATTTTGGGATCCAGTGGTAGAAACAATGGAAAGAAGACTTCAAAGTTGGAAGAAGGCTTTCCTATCCAGAGGGGGTAAATTAACTCTAATTCAATCAGTCCTGGGAAGCATGCCGATTTACTATATGTCCTTGTTCAAAATTCCATGCGGGGTAAGAGGACGTATAGAAAGATTAATGAAGGGGTTTCTATGGGAAGGCATGGAGGAAGGTAAGAAAACACACTTGGCCAAGTGGGAGTTAGTCACTAAAAACAAAGAGGAAGGAGGTCTAGGGGTGGGGAACTTGAGGAATCAGAACGAAGCATTATTGGCTAAGTGGTTGTGGAGATTCCCAAGGGAGTCACAGTCTCTGTGGCACAAGGTGATAAAAAGTAAGTATGGGCTACAAGCTAATGGATGGGAAGCACTTCCTCATGGGAGGGTTTCAAGTCGAAGCCCATGGAAAGACATTTCGAGTGGTTCTCAACAGTTTCTTAGATGCTGCACGTTTGAGGTGGGCAACGGTGAGAGGGTGAGGTTTTGGGAGGATGGATGGGTAACAGGGGGACCGTTGAAGGAGCAATTCCCCAGACTATTCCTTCTATCGAGGAAGCATAATCAAAACATCTCGAGCTTCGTGGAAGTTTCAGCAAATCCTTTGTGTTGGAACTTTGATTTTAGGAGAAACTTGAATGAGATGGAGATAGTAGAGGTGGCCACATTATTACAGAAATTGGAAGAGGTTCGATTGTCTCCATTAAAGAGGGATATCAGAAGGTGGAACCTGGAAGCTTCAGGTTTGTTCTCATGCAAATCCTATCGTTCATTACGGAGCAACGATGGGAGTGTGCACTATTTTCCACCCTACCCACAGATTTGGAAATCAAAGGTTCCTCCGAAGGTTAAAATACTTGTATGGCTTGTGGCCAATGGGAATCTAAACACATGTGACAGAATTCAAAGGAGAAACCCTCTTATGTGCTTATCACCACATTGGTGTAGCCTGTGCAAAGCCAAGGAGGAGAGTGTAAATCACATATTTCTTCATTGCTCCTACTCGATCCAACTGTGGTGGAAATTGTTTCAGGAGGTTAAAGCAAGTTGGGTCATTCCTAAAGGGTGTTTCGAGCTACTAAGCACAAATTTTAAGGCACTTGGAAAAAGGAAAAAATCCAAAGTTTTGTGGGGTTGCTTGGTATCGGCAATTTTCTGGAATATATGGCTGGAACGTAACAAGAGGATTTTTGAAGACTATACTGGAGTGGGGGCAGAAGAACTTTGGGGGAGAGTAAAATATTGGGCAGCTTTTTGGGCTTCGGTAACTAAAGAGTTTAAGAATGTTTCTCTATCTCAAATACTATGGGATGTGTTAGCTGCAGTTAAGTGAACGAGGTCTAGAAATGGCTGCTGTAGCCAAATCCTAATGGTTTTTTCCTTGTTGTCAGTTAGTGGACTCTTATCCACTTCTGTGCTGTTCTTTATTCTTTTAATAAAATTGTTTCTTCTCAAAAAAAGGTTTTACCTGTCTACTGCCTGTCCACTTTAGGTTGTCTTCTTTTAATATGCTAGATATCTTGTCAAATATCTCTAATTGTTAATTTTATCTACAATTACAATTATAGACATTTACAATTATAAGCTCCTTTTTAAAGTTTTAGGTATTAAACTTGCATATTATGCTGATAGAATGTCAACAACAACAACAACAACAACAAAGCCTTTTCCCACTAAGTAGGGTCGGCTATATGAATCCTAGAACGCCATTGCGCTCGGTTTTGTGTCATGTCCTCCGTTAGATCCAAGTACTCTAAGTCTTTTCTTAGAGTCTCTTCCAAAGTTTTCCTAGGTCTTCCTCTACCCCTTCGGCCCTGAACCTCTGTCCCGTAGTCACATCTTCGAACCGGAGCGTCAGTCGGCCTTCTTTGCACATGTCCAAATCACCGGAGCCGATTTTCTCTCATCTTTCCTACAATTTCGGCTACTCCTACTTTACCTCGGATATCCTCATTCCCAATCTTATCCTTTCTCGTGTGCCCACACATCCCACGAAGTATCCTCATCTCCGCTACACCCATTTTGTGTACGTGTTGATGCTTCACCGCCCAACATTCTGTGCCATACAACATCGCTGGCCTTATTACCGTCCTATAAAATTTTCCCTTGAGCTTCAGTGGCCTACGACG